GAGTCCATCATGGTGTCTGGGGGTAATTTGCATCTGGGTGTTTCCAACTGTCCAGGATACCACTATAGCAGGGCCCATTTAATTCATTCAGCTACTGAACGAGGATGCATGGAGCACTTACCATGTGCCAGGAATTGTGTTAGGCACAGGGTTGATAACAGTGAACTAGACCCTTGGTTCCTGCCCTCGACAGGAACTACATTATAGTGAAAGAGACAGGTCAAAACCAAAACCAAAAAGTAAACAGAAACATAAATAAAGCATAGCAAATTATATCAAGTATTGCATGGAAACACAGAAGGGGCTGGGAGAGAGGATGGGGCGATACCAGAGTAAGGCCTCTCTGAACCCTAAAGCAAAACAAGGAGCCATCATGGCAGGCTCAGAAGGAAACAGATGCCAAACAACTGCTGGCCTGTGCCAGGCCTGAGAGGAGAGTGAGGGGAAGGCAGTCTGGAGCTGTAGGGCCTTACGGACCAGGGTCAGGAGTGCGGTGTTTATTCTATTACTGGAAACCCCTGGGAGGCTTTAAAGCAGGGAAAAGACACAATTCCATTTACGTTTTAAAAAGCTTCCCACTAGAGGCTGAAGCATGGAGAGTGGCTCTTAGGGACAAGGGTGGTAGGTGGTGGGAGCAGACAGGAAGGATGTTATTGCAACCCAGGGCAGGACCAGGGCAGTAGGAGTAGAAGCAGGAGTAGAGAGGGCTTTTGAGTATGGAAATTGACACACAAAAACATAAATATTTTACAAATCATCGAACATCTCAGATCTTAGAGCTAGACTTTCCATTATGATGGCAAGTGAAACTAGAGACCAAAAAATAAAATAAAGTAAAATACGGTCAGGTGTGGTGGCTCATGCCTGTAATCCCAGCACTTTGGGAGGCCGAGGCAGGTGAATCACTTGAGGTCAGGAGTTCGAGACCAGCCTGGCCAACATGGTGAAACCCTGTCTCTACTAAAAAAAAAAACTTAGGCGGACATGGTGGCGCATACCCGTAATGCCAGCTACTCCGGAGGCTGAGGCAGGAGAATTGCTTGAACACAGGCGGCTGAGGTTGCAGTGAGCCGAGATTGCACCACTGCACTCCAGCCTGGGCAACAGAGCGAGACTCTGTCTTAAATAAATAAATAAATAAATAAATAAATAAATAAAATTACTAGGAAATAGAAGAAATAAAGACCTAAATTAGAAAGAACTTGAAACTGGGATGCCCATCTCCTTCTTCTCACTTTAGAGAATATAGACATTGAGTCTTCATATTCTGCTGGGCTGGGGTGGGGGGTGTTCTATCCCAAACATTTTTTCCTAATTAAGAGGGTCTTATTGATGACTGTAAATTATATAAGTACTTAGGGAAAAAAAAAACCCACTTGAATTCTGGCATCAGTAACTAAAATACATTTCAATCACGGTCCCATTGTTTGAGACTTGTGTAAGATGCCCAGTGAAACTGCCAGCCAGTGTTCCTCAAACATGATCCAAAGACCTCCTAGGTTAACAAAGAAGGAGTTGGGAGGGCAGGGAATTAAAAATGCAGATTCAGGGAGCCTCACCTTAGATTCACTAAAGCTGAGTCTTTGAGGTGGGCCCCAGAATCTGCATTTTCACAAGCTCCCTAAGTTGTGCGCTGCAGAGTCTGAGCAGCTCTGCTTTAAAGTGATTGATGCATCATGCTGAGAAATGACCTGCGAGGTTAAAATATAGAGAAGGAGATGGGGTTAAAATTATGACTAGGCTAAATAAATAATCACAAAGAAATAAAATCACCCTCAAATCTCATTATCATTAATGTTAACAATCATTGTAAACATTTTGGTAGATACGCTTCCAGATTTGCTTTTATGCACATATGCATTCTTTTTTTCATAACAAAACGTGAGTACACCCTTATATTCTATAGGAATTGACTTCATGAACACAATATGTCTTTTGATAAAGATGCTCATTCTTCATTGCCTGGATGCTGATGAGGGCACAGTGTAGGGGTGTGGGGCAATGCCCAGAGGGAAATGACATCCACCAGGATCTATGTCTTTAATAATCGGAGGAGGTATTATGGGGGAATGGATGCCTGACATGAGAGAATTAGAAACATATTTTATTTTGGAACAGACAGGTATTCTCTGATTGGTGGATCTCTGGAAATTAACACAAATTGTATCATAAATATGCCTTGCCAGATGAAGGCATCTTCTAAAAAGCCAAGCACAAAGAGTTTTCAGACAAAAAGGCATAGCAAGCAACTGTCAAAACACAGTGCCATGTTGAATACTGTCAGCTTCCTTCCATCTGCTGTTTCAAAAACCTAGCTTCTCTCTTGCATTCCAGGGACGCTGACGGAGGGGGAGAGCCAGATTCCGGCATAGTAAGTGTATCTGTTTTATTACTTTGGACATCACAGTGGAAAACTTCAACATTCTCTTGGCTTTCATATTTACTGAATCTACAAAGTTTCACACTGTTTGCTTTTCTTTCTTCAGGACTGAAGTGTTTAGGGTAGAGAGTTGCCAAATTTAGCAAATAAAAATACAGGATTTCCCATTAAATTTGAATCTCAGATCAACAACGAATACATTTTGAGTATAATTGGGGGCCATATAACATTCAGGACATACTTATACTAAAAAAGTATCTGTTGTTTCTCTGGAACTCAAATTTAACTGGGTGTTCTATATTACATCTCATGACCCTGTTCAGAGGGAAATATTGATACAGAACTGTAATTTCTTAATTAGAAGTGAAAACGCTCCAGTTAACCTAGGAGCAATGTGGATGCTCATTAATGATATCCTTTTGTGTTTCAGAAGTGTTTTTCCTAAAAAAAAAGAAAATGGATGATATAGAAAAAGAAAATGGATAATAAGAAAATGGATAATATAACATCAGCTACTCGAAGAAGACAGTGGACAAGGACTCCAGCTTTTAGTTCACACCAGAGTAGCAGAAGTCAGCGTGCTTCTTGCTTTCCTTAAGTGATTGACTTTGGGAAACACAATAGTTGTTCAGATACACAGGAATCTGCTTAAACTTTCAAATGCTGGTCATGCTCCCCAGGTAATGATCCAACGCGTGCTTATGTTGCTGCCTCCCAAATTAGTGCACACAGGGGTTGTATACAAAGTCAGGTTCAGAAGGGGGTTGATGCTCCAGCAGGGAGCCAGTCCCTAGACACAGAGGCCAGCATTCTTAATTGATAATGGACAGGAGGAAAATGGGAACCCTGAGATCTAGTGGAAGAAGTGAGATAATTTACTCTATTTATTTTCCTGGAAATGAAGACTTTATGTCAAGAATCTGTAATAAAATTAGCCAAGGTGCACACACGCAACTCCATAAAATGCTTGATCACCTTGCTGGTCTGCAGCACCTTTTTCTCTTTATGGGGGCATTTACCAGTTTTTAAATCCTTTTGTTTGATTAACATTAGAATCAACAACTGCAACCTGTGTTGGGTTCCAGTATAGTGTTGTATTTGCAAACTTATTAAGGAAGATAGATTTTTTTTTAGGACCTTAGCTGTAACAGTCTCTAGCCCTGAGTAGCAAACCATGCTTTTAAGTTTTCATTTTATTAGGGGTGAAAAAAAATCCAAAGACACAAAATCTATAGTTACTTAAGGAGAGAAAACACTGCAATAATTAGTCATTACTGCTCCAAGACAGTTTTATAGAGAGAAATACATTATTAAATCTATCTTTTTCTGAGTTTTTTAATCTCTTTTTTTTCCTCCTTAGAACTCTTATTTAAAAGGAACACAAAGTTGATTTTTATTTGTGAATAACTAATGGCTTAATGATGATATATTCCAAATAGCAGTAGTTTGCATGTATTCATAAGAAGCAGTCAGCATTTTGGATGTATCCAAGACCTTTAGATTCTGCCAAAAAAAATCCTGTGGATTCTAATTCACAGGTAGTAGAGCTATGATAGCTCCTGCAAACACTCAATGAACCCAAAAATGAGTTCAGTGTGCTTGGGACAAGGGGATGCTCCATCCTGCCAACCCTAGTGCCCATCACTTGATTGTTAGGATTCTCAGTCTTAATGCTATCTCCACCCACCTACTTCTCCTAAACACCTTATTTTCTCCTGCAGTTATCCACAGGGAGTTTCTAAAAGTGAAGAAGTTTTTACTTCTTCATCATCAAAATAAATGAGGGGGAGAAAGGATATATCCTGTAAGCTTTCTGTCAAGCTAGTCTTTTTCTGAAGTTAAGACCCTCCTCCTTTTATTTTCTTCCCTCTGTTTTGATGTTAAATTATCCTTGCTTTTATTACACAACGAGGACAGTTGTTTTTGCTTGGTTTTATATTATTAATGTCCTTAATTTAGGAAATAAATGTTGCTTTACCCTATGTTGGTTCTACCCATATTTGTATTCCTCTTCTAACTCTTTCAGTCATTCTAATTATATCAAGAAGAAAGTCTTGGTTTGTGCTAGACTGTCTTTAACACTTCTCTAACACTTAACAAGAACCCATTTTAACAAAAAAGATCAGGCTGCAGAAAACACTGTATCTGGCTGCGAGCATATATACATGATTTAAAATATGCCTTATTTTCACTGTCTTTATTTTTCCAATGACTTTATGAGTTTTGTTCGTTTGTTTGTTTTAAGACGGAGTCTCACTCTGTCGCCTGGGCTAGAGTGCAGTGGCGCGATCTTGGCTCACTGCAACCTCCGCCTCCCGGGTTCAAGCGATTCTCCTGCCTCAGCCTCCCGAGTAGCTGGGATTACAGGCTGCTGCCACTACACCCAGCTAATTTTTTGTATTTTTAGTAGAGACGAGGTTTCACCATGTTGGCTAGGCTGGTCTCGAACTCCCGACCTCGTGATTCACCCGCCTCAGCCTCCCAAAGTGCTGGGATTACAGGCGTGAGCCACCGTGCCTCGCCTGACTTTGGGTTTTATTCTATTTAACATTAGTGATATAAATATTTTTAAGTAGATTTAAATTTTAAAAATAAGTAGATTTAAAATATGAAGGTAATAATATAGCTTTGTATTTTATGAAGCTGGTTATCATTAAAAACTTCTTCACTTTTAGAAACTCCCTGTAGATAACCACAGGAGAAAATAAGGTGTTTAGGAGAAGGTAATAATAATATGAGTGCCATAAGCACAGAATCTTAACAGTGGCCCAGCAGTGAGTACAATTTAGGAACTACTGGTTTAGCCCATCCCTCTCATAAGAAAACAAATGAGGAAACGGAGACTCAGAATAAGGAAGATATTCTTTTCTAAGATCATACAACTGGTTATCATTAAGCTCTGTTCTCCTCTGTCCCTCCTCATCTAGGTAATTGCATTCGACAACAAATTCTGCAGTGTTAAAGTGAAGGAAATTGGATATAAAATACCCAACAATTGTGATGTGGGCTTTCAAGAAGGTGATGGTTCCAGAGGCTGGTGTGTACTATAGGGGAGGCATAGACACAGCGAACACTTGTCGTATAGCACCTTGTGCTGAAGGCCTAAACTCCTCAATTTCTCAGAGCACGAAGAAAAATCTTTGGGCCTGCCTCAAAGGTTGCAGTGGCAGAGATTTCCTCTGGAGTCAAGCAAAAGACGGCTTGAATCCCATCTTCTCGGCTTAGCAAAAAACCACCTTCCATCTCTTTATTCATGCTACTCTTTACTATTATCATTCCTATAAAATGTTATAGGAATAATAATAGCTAACAGTTCTGGGCCCTTGTTATCTGCCAAGCACCTCTGATGCATTATCTAACTTAACCCTCAAACTAATACTGGAAGGCAGTTATTATCATTCCACACGATAGGTGAGGACATCTGCACTCTGAATGGTTAATCGCTTATCTGCATTTATACAACTAAGCAGGTGACAGAATAGGATTCAAACCCAAGCGGCTTTATTCCAGAGTCCGCACTTAACGCTACCGCTATCTTGTGCAACTTAAATGGAGATAAGGGTTGCAAAGGCCTGGCACATAGCGGGCAGGGAATGTCAGTGTTTTTTCCACCCAAGTGGCAGCGCGAGTCCGTTGTAACCCGGGATCCAGAACCTTCTCCGTAGGGGCCTTGCCTGGGACTACAACTCCCAGGATGCCGCAGGCGGAGAAGCTGGCCAATCAGGGGGCGCCTCTTCGCCTTCCCAGTCGACTCCCTGCTCCTGTCAGAACCTCGGTGACGGTTGGCTGGGTGGGTAGTGACAGCTGCTCTGTCTTGAAGGATCCGGATCTGGTTTGGGAGGGTGAAGACCGCTGAAATTTCCAGGCTGCCCGAGGCTCTATCTTCCACCACCCAACGGGTGGGCAGTGGGCCAGGCTGGCCTCGGGGCCTCACACCCCGCGTGGCAGTGGGCCAGGCTGGCCTCGGAGCCTCTCCCTGGGTGTCGGTTGGGCGGAGAAGGGGGCAGCTGGCTGGGTGGGCCGGGCGGCTGGTGTCTCTCCCCAGGCCAGAGTCACTCTGAGGCCATTTTACATTGCCCTAATCCTGTCCACTTGGCAAGAAACTTAGCAAGCCCCTAAGGTTCATTCCAAATCCTGTGTGGGAGGGCGAGGACTGTGGAAACTTCCAGGTGCCTCAGACTCCATCTTTGGCCGTTGAGCGGGTGGTTGGGCTGCTCACGGCCCCAAAGATCTGGGGGGTCTTCATGGGCGGTTGGGTCGCTGAGGGCCCCAAAGATCTGGGGCTCCTCCCGGGTGTCGGTTGGGCCAAGGGGGAGGCTGGGCTTTCGGAGTAGAACCTGCGGTGCTAACGATGGTTCCGCGGGGCTGAGCGCCTGGGCGGCGTCCTGTGGCCCGGAGATGGCGCTTTAGTGGTATCAGGCCTTGAGTGGGGGCATCCTGGCTTCTGACCCCCCATTCCTTCGGCCCCTACAGCCTGGTCTCCGCTTCCCCACTCCCGGTGGATTGCTGTTGGAGCCGCCTCTCCTTTGTAGGTAGTGGCCTGGCCGAGCTCCCTGGGGAAGGCTTGACCCAACCCTGTCCTGCCTCCAGTCGAGTCCCAGCCACATGCTGCTGTGCCCTCACCCCAGCCACCCGCTGGGCACTCGAGGGCCTTGGAGAACCGGACCCCAGAGCGGAGAGAGGCCGCTGTCTTGGGTTCTAAAACCATTTAGTTTCTACTTTACTCTTTTTGGAAAACTTTTCCCTCGTTTTTGAAGTTCTTTAATTCCATCGCTCCACCGCATGTTAAAATATCATCTTTTTCCTTCCAACTTGACTCTTGGTTTGGCATGCCCAGGGAAGATAACTGACATCCCGGAGAATAGGGTCTTAGGGGTAGATGCAAAGCACATTTTACTAATGTCTGGGAAACAAAATTAGTTCTTTTACAGTGGCTCTGAAATGAGAGAAATTGGAGAAATTCTCCCTGCTCAGGAAAAAGTAGAGGCAAGAACTGACTTAAAGGTTAGTTTGTTTTCATTATTTTGGAGAAGCGGGTTGACCCACAAATGCCTACCTTTCCCACTGCTGGAGTTGTGTATGGTCATTGAGATCAAGTTTTTCAAGTCATTTTGAGAGATTGAACAGCTTAAGACTAGTTTCTAGTGAACCACCTCTCTGTATGTTTGTATCTGACACAATTGGTTATATACAGGTACTGTATAACATAGTAATGCATTGATTTCTACGTTTCGGTTAACCAAAATCAAAATGTCTGTTACCCTAACTCCCAAAACCAAACTAGCCATTTGCCACCCTCTTAGTGGATTATGATTGAGTTACCCTCTTAACGAATTATAATCAAATTCTTTTTGAGTTTCAATGTGTACTTAAATCATATGTGGGCCCTGTTATTCAAACGTAAGTTAGAAAAAGACATGGACTTACATAAACAAAATTAGAGAAGATCTTAACACAAATGCTAAATTGTAAGGTAGTTTATAAGGGCTGAGACTTTCTGAAAAGGGGACGTATTTATTTCTATTGTAAGCCCTCTCTTGTGGATATGGTTTGATTGAGGAATCCTACGAATTCCAGTTGGAGTTTTCAGTTGGAAAAATATTACATAACATTGATGCCTTTTGATGTTAGATTTCTACCATTTATAAAGATTTGTTTTATAATTATTTCTGAAATAACGGATTTATAGAAATACTGAAAATGTAAATATTTTAAAAGTACACATAAATACTGATATATACATTGTTTCTGTTTTTCTTTTAAAATCAGATGGGTAAGAAGAGTGCTACTGATCATAAGCTAAATGTGGACAAAGTAATTAAAAATATTAACACAATTTCTTTGGAGTTGAAGAAGATAAAAGGTAAGTATTGAATCACTAAAATGTTTGCATGTCATTGTTATAAAATAAATGGTAGAGCCAATTTATGTTTCTGCTGGGGTATAAATAAATTTTGCCCACTAATTAGGATTTCTCTATTTCTTAAGAAATGTTTTCAGTGTAAGTGAACTAGGTCTCTAAAGATGAATTATGTTCGACTTTGGAGTTAGCAGACCTGAATTCCCATCCCTGACACTAACAAGCTTATCAGGTTGTCTAACCTCTGTAAATTTTACTTCCCTTCCTTCCCTTCAACACACCATTATAAGACTATGTCACATTCAGCAAAATTCATTGTCTTTATGAATTCTTACTAAGCCCCTAAGGTTCATCCCAAATTAAAAATATAAATTAGATTGACTTAAAGCTTCTTCATTTTAAACAGATTCATATACTAGGATTAGACCTTATAGGTCATAATGTTTAGTCGCTCACCTCACAGACATATTCTGTTATTTTATCCCAAGAAAACTTCTGTGATTGAATATTTCTTTTTTTTTTTTTTTTTGAGATGGAGTCTCGCTCAGGCTGGAGTACAGTGTCACCATCTCAGCTCACTGCAAGCTCTGCCTTCCAGGTTCACGCCATTCTCCTGCCTCAGCCTCCTGAGTCGCTGGGACTACAGGCGCCCGCCACCACACCCAGCTAATTTTTTGTATTTTTAGTAGAGGCGGGGTTTCACCGTGTTAGCCAGGATGGTCTCGATCTCCTGACCTGGTGATCCGCCTGCCTCAGCCTCCGAAAGTGCTGGGATTATAGGCGTGAGCCACTGCACCCGGCCGTGATTGAATATTTCTAGGTGTTATCTATCCCTGACCAAACATTTCTTATTCTGGAGAACTTCCTGTCTCACTAGTCAATCCATTCCATTTTAAACAATTCCTTCTCACGGGCTAGCTGAAATCTGTTCTCCTATTGCTTTCACCTGAGAGTCTTGTTTCTAACCATGAAAACTACACTGAATATGTAGTTATTCTTTTTAAAACAACTCTTGGGTATTTAAAGATAGCTTGTGTCGGTTATGAGGCCTACATCTGTATATAACAAAAAACTAACCTGACTTATACAATAAGGAAAAACAAGAAGATCCAAGGTAGCCCAGCCCTAAAGTTAATTAAGAGGTTTAAAGATTTTGTCAGGGACCAGGCTCTTTCCATCTTTCTGCTCTGTCTTGTTCACTCTCCTTATCACTCCTCGTGGTCATTACCTTCAGAGGTGGTGATATATAGACAGTCTCTTTTTATAAGTCTTTTGCCAGATCCCTCCAGCACATTTCCCTTTCATTGGCCAGATTTGCATCATATGCTGATGCTTACAGCAGCCACAGCTAAGGGGACTGGGATTGCCAAGACCAGTTTGGACCAGTCAGAACTTACTACAGGAGCTGGGGAAAGGAACACCTCAAACGAAACCAAGCTGTGACACCAAGAAGAAGAGGGCGTGGCCGTTAGTTAGGCACCAAATAGTGAGTGCCTATTATGCTTTTTCCATGTATTCTCCCTAGGACAGCATTTCCTGGACTTTGATCTGAGAACCCTGCTGTTTCAAGAGATGTTAATAGATGGTGTACAGTAAAACAGAGTCCATGTTCTTATGGCCAAATAAGTTTGGGAAGTGCTTTATGCTATGTATTTCACAAATTTGCAGTGCATATTAAGAAATCTGACTACCTTTAATTCATCATTTCTCAAAACCAGCCTCAACACCACAGTGAAGATTCTCCCTCTAAAATGTCAATCTGCAGAAAACCCTCACTGACTCACCATTGTCCTTAGGATAAAGTCTAAACATCTTAGAATGGACTATATGACCTGCTCAGATCAGGCCCCTCTTTTCCTCTCTAGTCTCTCACTCTGTTCTTCCTGCATGTTCTGTGCTCTAGCCATACTGAACTATTTGCATATCCACAAGTGCTTTTCTGTATCTGCTTCAACACATACTTGTCCTTCTGAAATCCCATTGCTATACCCCATCTCCAACACACCAGGTTAACTACTAGTAGTCAAGGTCACTTACATTGGAAAACCTTTTTTGAGCCAGCGTGTTATCCTTTCTGCCCTTTGCTATCACCCGTTATACTATTTTATAATTGCTTATTTCCTTACTTTTCTTATCCCTGCTCAACTGTAAGCTCCTTACGGGTATTTCTAGTACTTAACACCGTGGCTCAATTGATTAGATTCTTGAAAAATGTTTATTAAATGAATAAATGGTTCTGGATGCTTGAACTCATTTAAAACAGTTAAGCTTTAGATTCCCCCCAAACTCTAATTGTTCTAGTTTGGAGAATAATCTTTCCTGAAATAAAATGTAATAACTATGAGAGATGTTTTCTTGAGACATTGTATGGTAGGTCAGGCAGTTAGGCTCTGAGGGACCTGTAGAACTATACTAGGAAGGTAGACTTCTGGTAAATGTAGAGGATTAAATGAACACTCTGTGCACCCTCACTTCATCCCCTAAATAATAATGTCAGCAGCCAACCCTTACAGCATTTACCGTAATCCAGGACTCTTCTAAGAACTCTGCATAAATGAACTGTCTTTATAATAATCGTATAAGGTAGGAACTGTTGCCATTGGCATTTACAGATGTGTAAATAGAGAGATTTAACTTTTTCAAGGTCAAGCAACTAGTCAGTGGTAGACCTGAGATTTAAATTTAACTGATTTTTAAAGAGACAAAAATCCACAAGTAAAGAGATTCCAATAAGAGATAACAAAACAAAAGGCAAATGGAGAAGCAAATAGACAAGTCTGAACCCCAAAGTCCGAAAATCTGAACCCTAAGCTGGTTGGGTAAAGCCAAAAATAGCCCCTACGACTCAATTCATGGTGGCACCAGAATCTTCTGGAAGTAGGGGTGAAGTTTGAATAATAACAGGAGGACTAGTTAAATATATAAGAATTGTAGATCCCTGAGGTCTCTTCTGCCCTCTGCATAGCTGGGCAGCTATCCCTTCACTGTGGTAAAAGACTTGAGGTTAAAACAAGGATATCTACCCTGGAGTCACTAGTCATAGGTTGAGGGAAAGTACTATACTGTAAAGAAGGATATTGAAACAAAGTTTACATACCAAATTACAAGACTCCCAGGATTTTTTTTTCTTCATTAGGCTACCAAAATACTGGCAGCCAGATTTATACCCTCCAAGTAGATTTTTCTCTCAGGAATCTGACCAGTCCAAGGTAAAAGATCTAAAGATACTAATAGCAGAGGTTCTCCCAACAAAATAACCCAGCCAGATCATCCCACATTATTGAGTACCACAGGTGCAGAACTTCCAATTGTCTTTTTAGTGTCACAGTCTTAAATATGGGCAACTAAGACACAACAGATATTTGAGAAGCACATCTTATATGAAAAGCAGAGAAAAAATCAACAGATTCAATGAGGAAGAAACAGAAATAATGAGGGGAGATGAAAACTTCAAGAAATTATTAATATTCAGAGAGAAGAGAAGATACTGTATCCATGAAAAAGGAACCAGATACTATAAAAAATATTCAGAGAACAAGAAGGAGCTCTTGGAAATTAAAAGTGTGACTGTAGAAATGAAAAACTTGATAGGTTGAAAGGTAAAATGAAGAAATTCCTCTGGAGTGTAAACAAAACAGAGATGGAAAGTGTTGATGATGGGGAGGAGAAGGATTAGATAAGTGAAGGAAGTCCAACATCCAACAAATAAGAGTGTTAGAAAGAGAGAACATAGACAATGAATGACGGGCAATTCATTAAAGAAATAGAGAAAATTTTCCAGGGCTGAAGGGCATGAGTTTCTACAATGAAAGAGTCCACCACAGTGGATGAAAATAAGCTCATACCAAGGCAGAGTGTTGTGAAATTTCAGTCTACTGAGAGAACAAAAAGAACTGTAAAGCTTCTGAAAACAAAACAATCATTTGAAAGTTCTCATATGACTCCAGCTTCACTGGAACCTAGAAAGCAACGCAGCAGTGCCTTTGGAAATCTGAAAAAATATTGTTTCCAATCTAGATTTCCATAGCGAGTCAACCTTCTAATTAAGGATTAGTGTAGAGAAATTTTCAGACATATAATTTTATTCCAATAGTTACTGAGCCTATGTGTCACCAAACAAGGGAACAGATCAAAAAGAGACACAGGAATTTGGGGGAAAGGGCACTTCACAGAATGGAGGGATAAAAGGAGTCTCAAGGATATTGGTGAAGGGAGTTCCCAAGATACCAACTGTACAGCAGTGCTAATAAGCAATCAGTTCATATTGGAGCAAATCAGAAGGCTCCAGGAGAGGAGAGACGTTTAACAATAGCATAGCTAAGGTGTTGAATAACCCAAGAGCAAATTTACTCAATTGGGGGACATTTCTGATAATGCAGCAATATTATTTCTGATATTGCAGCAATGAAAAAACACATTAACTCTGGTGGGTTGCGTGCAGGAAGGAAAAATGTCATATGACAAGACTCAGCTCTGAAGAGTATTTGTATAATTAACATTTAAACATTAGATAATTGAGCTAAGCAAAAATTTTTCCTGAAGTATATTGGGAGAGAAGAGGGTGTGTGAAAGAGCTGTCTCTTAATCTTCTGTGTCAGAGGCAGGTAACACTGAAAATTGAAAAAAAAAAAAAATCGCAAAAAATTTAGAGATACGGAGGTAAACACCATCGCACCCCTCCCCCCAATAACAATACTCAAAGCAGACACACTGAAACGACCAAAGCAACAAAAGCAAAATGAGCCTAAAAAACAAACAAACAAAAAATTGAAATTGGTTGCCTCTGGGAGATTGGAACTGCAATTTTTTGTAACGTGCCTTAGACTTATCTGATTCTTGGTACTATATGCATGTATAACATAGGTAGAAATAAGTTAAAACCATATAAATCAAATTTGTATAAATCAAGTTGCAGTTTAGTAATATAGCGGAGAAGTTGGGCTAAAGAGCACACTTTTAGTAAGTTTTTATGTCATGCTTATTTTCTAATACATAAATCTTATTTTAAGTCAGAATGAGACACACTTAAATTGTGGTTTTATCACTAATCACTGGGAAAAACTAAATTAGGAACTAGGAAGAAATAGCTACTTAAAGCAATAGTAGTAGTTTTTTTAATGACATATGTGCTACAATATAATATCTCCTGTTTTGTTTTACAGAGCTCTCCCAGTTATTGCTTTGTGACCTTATCCTACATTTTAATCATCCCGTCAAGACTGAGAACTTAACAGAAGCAGAAAGAAAACAACCCCCTCTTTGAAGAGTCTAAAATATCAGATATATCCCTTGTTTCTAACAGTTTTTCTGCTGATTTCTTATTTGTTACGAGTTTCTCTTTTTATTGTTGAAGTAACAAATACTTGGGAGAGTTGAGTTTACTAATTTGTATATGTATAATTTAAAACAAAATAAAAATAATGTTGTAAACAAGCAGTTCATGTTCTTAAAGGCTGTTTAATGTTTTGAAGAATGGCTTAACTTACTTCAGTAATGGCAAGCGTATGACATAGGAAATTGGCCGTGGGTCACTGCTTATCCTTTAGCTTATGCTTGATTTTGGCTCAGGTTGAAAGAGAGCTACTAAATTATTAATTGATGGTATGAGTTCATATTAGTCAGAACTCTCCTGGTAGTGAATGCCAAGCACAGTTCAACCAGCTGAAGCATTATATTGAGTCATGTGACTTGGAAGCCCATGGTTGGAATAGATTTCAGGGATCCCACTAATTTGTTTATCCTTTTACTATGTTTTTGTGTGTTGGCTTCATTCTCTTCTATTGTAGACTGGTTCTTCCAGATAATTGATAAATGGGAATAGTTGCAGGGCAGCAGGCAGCTCCAAGTGTACAGCATTGCCTTTTGGGGACCCCAGATAAAAGAGAGATCTTGGCTGGGCGCAGCGGCTCATGCCTGTAATCCCAGTGCTTTGGGAGGCCGAGGTGGGTGGATCACAAGGTCAGGGGTTCAAGACCAGCCTGACCAGCATGGTGAAACCCCATCTTTACTAAAAATACAAAAATTAGCTGGGCGTGGTGGCAGGCTCCTGTAGTCCCAGCTACTCAGGAGGCTGAGGCAGGAAAATTGCTTGAACCCGGGAGGCGGAGGTTGCAGTGAGCCGAGATCATGCCACTGCACTCCAGCCTGGGTGACAGAGAGAGACTCCGTCTCAAAAAAAAAAAAAAAAAAAAGAGAGATCTTGTCTCAGGCTTCATGTTTAACATTCCAGAGAGTGACCCTGACTGACCCAGCTTTAGTAAGCTATTTATCACTGAGCAGAGTTCTGAGCACCTGTGATTGATGCACCTGGGGTTATATACAGGCCTGTGGCCAAAAGAGGCAAGGCCCGGCAAAAAGGAGTTGCCAGTGCTTGAACAGAGAGAGAATGCTAGTCATGAAAACATTAGCTTCCCAATACAGATTTCAGTCATAGCCGTGGAATAGAACATCTTAATCCTAATGGCCCTTTCCACTAAGAGACTTAAAATGAGCTTTGGTTTGTTTTATAAACATGATTCACTACCAAATAGTTGCTTTGAAATCGATCAGGTCCTTCATTTTAAATACTTTTGAATCGTAAGGATAGAATACGATGAAGCAAGACAAGTTGAGCTTACTCGATACTAGAACCTGTGGTGTATGCTATCCTTATTATCTTGCACCTAGCTCACTTGTTTACCACAGAAGAGCCACTAAGTAAACACTTGCTGAATAGCCTATTGTATAGACATGTAAATGAATGCAGAGTTTTCAGCCTTAGAACTCCCAAGTTTTGGACCCTAACTGAGAACTTCTGGTTATTAAGGATGAGATTTTGTGAAACATCATTTTTACCAGTTAAAAGTCTCTACATTCCGCATACTCCTTATCTTAACATATCATCAGTTTTAAAATGGTGACTTCTTAGATTCCTTCCAATACCCCTTTTATTAGCTCATGAGAATGAAGATGCAAGATACTCTTTTCCATTTCGAAAACTTGCAGATTAAGCAGAGATACCAAAAATTGTTGCTAATAAAAGTTGTGCAATAACAACCAAGGTCCCAAAGGGAAAAACTTGAAGAACAACTGATTGTCACTATTTGACTGAATACCAGTTTTTTAATCTGGCTGAATGCCTATATTTTTTGTTAAGTGAGGTTTGTAAACTGAAGGAAAGAGTTTAGTTACTTCAAAGCACTTATACAACCTGTTTGGGAAGGATGAGGAGAAGGGACTTTATGGCAGAGCTGTCAGGGGGATAACAAGAGATAGAAGAGCCATACCTAATAAGAAAGTCTGATCAAATTTATCTAAAGTGTTGCTCCCTCATCCTCCCAGGGAGCCTTTGGTAAAATCTATGTCCCTGGACAATGCTTTTGGGGTTGAGAGAAGGTTGGTGGGGAGGTGTAATGGTTAGTGTGGGTGTGGAGATGTGAAGAAACGCCAATTTAACCCCAGATGTATTCATTAAACATAGACCCACGATACACCAAAGTCTCATCCCTAAATTTAAAATGTTTTGGTATTTGTAGTTTAAATTTTCTTTAAGATGAAAATATAACAGTATGGACTAAAAGTCAATAAAGTTGTTTTAGGAAACCAAAAAAGTAAAGCAAAAGACTATTTTAATCCCAGAAGTTATCTCAACATGCATTTATCTTTTCATAAAAAAAATTACATAAAAATCCCCCCAGGAAAAAAATACCAAATAAGTAAGAGTGAAATTATATTTTTGAAGCCTCTTAAATTATTGCTGCTGAGAAAATGAGGTTTAGTAATTTTCAAATTACATGTATAAAACTAATGAATGCCTCTGACTGACAGAGGTTTGGCTGTAAGAAAATCAGTTTTATGTGATACCAATAACTATTACTGTTTCAGTGTTTTAAAACTTGCCCCAAATTGTTTCTGTAGCTGTGTAAACTATTGTATTTTGAAATGGGCATTAAAAAAACTTTTAAAAAATGAATTATTACAGTGCACTACTAGACTTCAAGTGTGAACATGACTTATGCACTTTACAAACATTGAAGAAGAATAAATAAATTATGGGATATTTGACAGTCTTCATTTCAAACACTGTTTTTAAAGGGAAGGATAAAACCCTTGTGTTCATGGGGAGGGGTTCAGTTCAGTCCTAAGTGTTTGTCCGTTGACCAAGGCTGGTTGATCTCGTGTTGGCAACAGAGGCAGGAGGATGGTTCATTTGCTCGGCTATAACTTGCTATGGGTACCCTGCTGCATGCGTTAATGTGCACTGGTATCTGGAACCTCGGTTTTTCCCATCAATGAGCAGAAGTGGCATTTTCCTGAAGTAGTCAATAATATCTGACACAGACAGAAAGTCCTGAAAGAGTCAAGATAGGGAGATGAGTCAACATTGGAATGAAAAGCAGGAACTTCACCTTCAGTTTTTTATCTGCATAATATATCCTGCCTCTTCAAGTGATGAGGATTGTGGGAAAAAATGTAAATGTGGCAATTAGTTTAATGATTTCTGCTATAGAACTTTGAAAAAAAATTTCCCATAAACATCCAACAAACCATAGATAAAAGATAAAATATGGGCCAGGTGTGGTAATTCACGCTGGTAATCCCAGCAATTTGGGAGGCCACGGCGGGTGGATCACCTGCGGTCAGGAGTTTGAGACAAGCCTGACCAACATGGTGAAACCCTGTCTCTACTAGAAAACACAAAAGTATTAGCTGGGCTTGCTGGCGTGCGCCTGTAATCCCAGCTGCTTGGGAGGCTGAGGCAGGAGAATTGCTTGAACCTGGGAGGCGGAGGTTGCAGTGAGCCAAAATTGCACCACTGCAGCACTCCAGGCTGGGTGACAAGAAGGAAATTTCATCTCAAAAAAAAAAAAAAAAAAGATAAAATATGTGTGTGTGTGTGTGTGTATATATATTTATATATATATATGTAATTTGAAACACATATATTTTTAACTTCATATGAAGGGGTCATGTACATAGTCACGATTACAATATTCTTGCCTCGGGTTGCTCTGTTTTTGGGTTTGGTTTCGGTTTCTGTATCTCTGTTTCACCCCTAGTCATTAATAGTGTTAGGAAGTATAAGGACTCAGGAGGTCAGACACAGTTCATGGTGTCTAGAGGTGGGATATGCAGCATGGCACAGGGGTTCCTTCCTGATCTCTCTGCTGTGTCCTCACTGCCACCTTCACACTCATAAGGGCTCAGCAGGCAAGTCTTTGCAGCCATAGCCTGGATCGCCCCAGCCTTGATTGCTTGCTAGAGAGGGAAAAGCCTAATTCATTTTTCTAGACATGGGTCACAACTCACCTAGGAACCCTAACAGGATAATGCACTTCCTTGAAGACTAATCTGCTAGGTGCCTGCCTCCATGGGAGCTGCAATGAGTGGTTGGCCTGAACTTGTGTGTTTCCACACTGTACCAAGATACATCTTGAAGGGCAAATACCTCTGCTTCTATAGGGTCTGTGCAGCTCTATCTACTGCCAACCAGTAATTCAAACATTTGACCACAAGTATGCATTTTTTTTTCTATTCATTATCATTATCATGACAGAAGTATGTGAAGCCGAAGTTATGGGTAAGCTGTTTCTCATTCTGGACATGTTTGATTCAGCTGGTCCTCCTCTTGGAACTTTGAACTTAGAATTTGTTTGCGGCATTACCTTCAGTTGTTAGTTTCCTTTGCAAAAAACTAGTCCTGAGGGTTTTTTTCCATCAGTTCTGATTATCACTCAAAAAGTGACGGCATGAGAATCTAAACCTTGGCCTGACAGAGAAGAATTTCTTTGGCAATCTGGCCATCTTCACAAGGCCAAAGCTCCATTTTGTTAAGAAATGAGCCAAGTATTTGAATAATCACCCCAGCAAATATTCTAATTTTTCCTCTTTTCCAGGTGGTGTCAACTTAAAATGCAACCTACATTAAAATTATGTCACAGAGGTGAATAATAGCAGGAACTTGCCTTTGACCCCATCTAAATAGGTTTTTTTAAGTTAACATACTTTTTCTTGCTTTTGAAAATTATACATATGATTATTTGAAATAAAAGATATACAAGAAAGAATCCTATGGCAGAAGTAACCATTGTAAAGATTTTGCTTTATTTCTCTTCCAATAAATGAAGGGCTTCTCACTAATGTGTTTTAATTCTAAATTTGCCATACAGCATGGACTCCCAAAGATTGCTCCATGAAGGCATGCAGAGTGGCATAAAAAAAGACTGTGGGAAAATGTTGAAATTTGAAATCCTTACCTCTTTCCCTCGGAGTCCAGTTCCCAACAAGTAAACTTGACTTTCCTTCTGATAACGGATCTGGATGTTGTAAACTTTATCTTTGTACAACACCATGAGGACATATGGATTGGTTATTGTTTTTTTAGAGCTGTCTCTAACCAGAAATGTGCCATCCTAAAAAGATAAATTCCTGTTATTATGGGAGAGTAAAAGTCAATATTTTTGTTGCTTGCAAGAATAGTAGACCAGCCTCCAGGGATCTGACAAACATGTCAGTTGCACTTTGCAGCTTCTTGAGTGCAAAACCTGTCATTCAACGAACATTCAGTTCTCCACACAGCTACAGATCCCATGTGTCATGGGTTATTTTGTTATTAAGAAAGGCAACAGAGATTGTATCAGAGAAATTTCCAAGTCAATCTCATTAAAGTCTCTTATAAAAATGGAATCTTTTGTTCAGTAATAAATAATGGGTGGTTGAGTGGATAAAAGGCCAGGAGAAATAAAAAACTTTATTGGTTAACTCAAGATATATCTTCCTACTATTCCTGTGAGTTAATTCCCTAACCTTTCTCTTCCACATCCAAAGTCAGAAAAGACCCACATGCCGTGAAATTCACCCTTCTTAAAACCTTGTGATCCCTAGATAGTCTTTCCTTCATCAGACACTTGAACAAAATTGAATGCAGATGTTCTCTTTTCTTTTCTTTTTTTCTGATATTTGCTAAACTACTGTTTTGATTGTCCTGTACTTTGAATTTCCATTCAATAAATTATTGCTACATAATATTAATGCTATAAAGATCTAATATTAAGATAGAATTAATTGGAAAGGACTCCTTTAAACTACTCCCTTCTCCTCATACCAAATCAGGATAGCTTTAAATAGCCATGAGTTGGCAATAATGGCTTTCCTTTGTTCCTTTTATTGCAAGTTAATTGAGCCTGTCAGAACATCTCTGCTAAACAAACATACTTCTGGATCAGTGATTCACAGTCTTGGCTTCAAATCAGAATTACCTGGGAAGTTTTGAAGACTCCAGAGCTGACACAGCACCCCAGAATAATTAGAATCTCAAGGCGAGACTCAGGAATCCGGATTTTTCAAAAGTTCTCCAGGTGATTTAAATGTGCAGCTACTACTGAGAACTACTGGTGTGGAGTTTAAATGTGAAAGATGAAAGAGTTTTGCTTTCCCATTTCCGATAAATAAATTTAAGGTAAAGTTTCGGCACTGGCTACGGGAAATACGTTCAAGACGTTATGTATTAAAGGACTAGCTAGAAACGTCTAGGGCAAAAAGCAAAAAGTTGCTGCCATCTCTTTAATATCGGTCCTTTCACACCAACAAGGATGGCACATCTGTGTTAAGAGAAAGATAGAACTGGTACAATGTTGGAACTTTGGGGGAAAGAGAGCCTCCTTCGGACACTGTGTGATTCGTATGACAAGACAAACTCTTTCATTAATCAAATCTCCTAAGATTCTGCCAGTCAAATGACTGCCTTGAAATTCTTCTGCCAGCCTAATGATTCCCGAGCCTAGGAATCCCTGCTATGGGTGCTGATAGTTGTGAAGCTGGCACTAATGGGTCTCCTCGGTATCACAGTTAGCAACAGCACTTAGCAGAATTACTAGCCTGTAATGGGTACTCAGGACAAGTCAGTTCCCTTCTCTGCCATTAATATTTATAACTATGTTAAAATAAACTATAGCACAATACCTGGTTTATCTTTCTAAGAGCAGCTTCTGCCTCTGGTCGGGTAATATAAGAAACGTACCACTCTTCATTTAATGAATTCTGAAAATGTAAATTTTTAGAAACTGAATAAATTTTACAGTTACAGATGTAAGTGAAAAGAAAAGCTTCTGAGTAATCATTTCCATAAATCACCACCTCAATTCCAGGAGGTTTGAAACATTTGTTTTCTTAATTTGCATTCAGAGTCATTTAGCTGAGGCTAAATAGAAGACATTTTGTGTGAACTGCTTTTTATCATGACGCTGGTTGCAAAAATACCTGTGAATAAGTGTTCCTTACAGTATGGAACCTCTAATCAGGAAAGACGCAGATACAGTAATTTCTTCAGTTTAGCATAATAACCTGCTTGATAAAAAAACTGGTTTATCGAGCAGTTAAGTGACGAATCAAGGCCATAAACATAAAAAACAGGATTATTTTTCTTGCCGTTTAATGCAAAACACACGTTTGCCATTGAAAGAGTCTGAAAGAACGCCAAGGAAAAAGAACATATTGTTCATCTGGATCTTCTCCTTTAACTTTTTTTTCGAATAAATAAAATAAAACAAATGGAAGATAAAAGTATAGAAGAACATTCAGTGGGAGTTTCTGGTGATTCTTTTACCAGGGAAAAAGCAAACAAACAAAAATAAAAACGTATACTTTCTTACCTCTTCTTCCGCGGGGGATGGGGGCCGACGTTTGTTTGGAAGTGGCAAGGGGAAGTTTCTGCCTTCGGCTCTGATAGGTGGTCTGTTGCTAGGGCCTTCAAAAGTACAGAGTTCCGAAAGTTAATTTACTGTGAGCTATTGTTTACTGCTATCAAAACACATTCCCGCCCCCCCCCCCCCACAAAATACCCTTGCGGTTGGTCCTACAGTTAGCATTTTAAGAAACCAGGGCTTCAAAAATAATTTTCTTCCGTTTGAAACCATGGAGGCTACTCAGGCATTATTCTGTAATCATGCCAGTAAAACTTTGAGAAGAGAACCTCAACTTGGAGTGATTTTCTAAATGTGCATGTTGCATAATATAAAGTGACTAGATCCCTTTACTAAAAAATTCACAATTGTTTTAATGAGTGTGAACATCAAAATGAATGCTCAAGAGACATATCTTTCACAGATTCTTATAATCTCAGCATAGGCAGAATGGATTCCCAACAGCTGATGTAGGGACAGGCAGTAATGAAGATAATTACGTTCTTAATATTTCCACAAAAAGAAATGTAAGTGACCGAAGAGAAGACGAAATTACCTTGAGAATATTGCTAGCTTTTAGAATCAAAGATTGCTACCTGCTGTTCTAACTAAACAGGTAGAACTGTTCAACTCACATAGAAGGCTCTACAGATCAGGAAGTTTGTGTTGGGCACCTATTAATTACCCAGCGCTTATGTCTCATCTTCTCTAAAACTCTTTTTTCTCATTTACAATTCCTTGAAACTTTAGGAAAAAGTTTCCGAATCTCAGGAAAGGTTTAGTTGTGTTTATTGCGGTTGCCCAGGGTATTTTCTGTGTGCCAGGCTGTGGTTAAAGACAGAAAAATTCTGTGAGTCGAATGTTCTCTTAATTATTCATCCATCATTCATTCATACCTTCAACAAATATGTATTCAGTACAACTCTGTCCAGATCTTGAGTAAGGTACTGTGTGTACATTTTTTTAATCCTCAGCAACATTACAAGGTAGGTATTGTCTTCATTTTGCATATGGGGAAATACAGGCTCAGAGGCTAAGCAAATCATGTGCTATCAGTGGCAAAGCCAAAACTTAAACCTGTGGTTACCAAATGTTACTGTGCATGAGTCAGAATCACTGGGCGACTTTCAAGCACCTAGGGCCCAGAAATCTGCATGTTAGCAAGTACTTCTGGTGGTTCTACACCAGGGATTGTCACTATGTCTACCTTGTTACACCACTGAGGAGAGGAGTCACCTGGAAGGGCTAAAGCCTCCTGAGCCACATCGTCAAGATTATTTATGATGGTCCTTCCTTGTTTCTAAACAAGTCTCCTGAGCCACATCACCAGGATTATTTAGGATGCTCCTTCCCTGTTTCTAAACAAGCTGGCCCGGAGCTGCCAGTACCTTCCTTCTTCAAGTTCCTAGTGCCTAGACAGACCTTCCCCATCCCACTTTTTTTGTAGTCAAACACTTGCACTTTTATAATGCTTGTTGAATGAATGAAACCTAACAATACAGGAGAGTAACAGAACCAAGGCCCGCATTGCATGGCTGTTCTACAGTTAAGAAATGATTCTCTTTCTGCCTCTGTACCTGCAGGTCAGCGTCATAGAGTTATAATTCACAACAGAGAAGCACATACACTGTTTTATTGTAGTCGCCTACCACCCTTAATATCTAGACTCTCAAGGGAGTCGTCACAGATTTTTGGACAATGCACAACACAACTTTTACCCTTCTGATGTTGGAGCAACCAGTGGAGAAGACCGAGGACCAGGTGTCCTGGCAGTCTCAGGGGAAAAGAGATCAATTTGGATGAAGCTAATGTTCCAGAAATAATTAACTATTTGCATTAATAAGCTCCATCTCAGACTCATAAAACTGGAGATCTGTGGAACTTGCTTTGGAAAATACTGCTGTGATGTGTCTAGAACTCAGATGGCTACAGAGGCAAGAAGGTAACACAAATGTGTGTTTGCAAAACACAGTGAGTTTTGGGATTGTAAAAAATTAGGGGTTGGGTGGGAAACTGTGAAAATCATGTGGTGAACGTGGACACCATAACCTCAAATGCTTAGAAACCGTTGAAAACTTAGTGGGTGCCACTGGTGTCAGCAGTGGGATCTCGCCCCTCTATGGAATGATGCATCCAACTGAATACCTTAGATGTGCTCTTGATTCTCAGGCTGTCAATTCAAATGTACTAATATAGTTTTCTACTGAATGCACACTGGCCTGTGCACACACTGCACATGGAACATGACTGCAAAAAAAAGTGGCTTTTGTTGTTGTTGTTGTTGTTGAGACAGAGTCTTGCTCTGTCTCCCAGGCTGGAGTGCAGTGGCGCAATCTCGGCTCACTGCAAGCTCCGCCTCCTGGGTTCATGCCATTCTCCTGCCTCAGTCTCCTGGGCAGCTGGGACTACAGGCGCCCACCACCACTCCCAGCTAATTTTTTGTATTTTTAGTAGAGACAGGGTTTCACCGCGTTAGCCAGGATGGTCTTGATCTCCCGACCTCATGATGATCCACCCACCTCGGCCTCCCAAAGTGCTGGGATTACAGGTGTGCACCACTGCGCCTGGCCAAAAAGTGGTTTTTTTGTTGTTGTTCTTCACAGCAATTTTTTTTTTTTAATTTAAGACAACATTTAAACATTAAATAATTCCACTTTTCTTGAGAAAAAATTGGAAAATCTGGCAATGCTAAGCCAGTTTCCTGGAATGGTAAAGATCTACTTACTAGAGTTGGGTAACTTTCCACAGTCATTTGATGCTCATTCAACAAGCATTTTTAAAGTGCCTACCAAATGCCTGTCACTTGCAAGTCTTTAAGGATAAAAAACACAAATTAGTCCTGCCCCAGCCTTTCAAAGTGGTTCATGAACCAGCAGTCACAGTGTCTCATGGAATACGTTAGAAATTCAGGAACTCAGGCCTCATCCCAGACCTCCTGAATTAGAATCTGCGATCCCGGGTGATTTGTATGCACGTTCAAGCTGCAGAACACCCTAAGCCAATACTTATCCTGGACATCCAGAGGTGGTATTATTAAAAACACAGGTCCCTGACTTCACTCCAGACTTACTGAATCAGCATCTGTGAGGTTAAGTTCTCTTAGTCTGTATTTTGAACATGCTCCCAACTTACAACCATGGACAGATTAATCATGGAAATCTAAAACTGCAGAGAAAGCCAAGCACGATTCCGAGGTCTGTAGGGAAACAGCAGCCGGAGAAGAAGTTCTGCACGAGAAGATTGGGGATGAGGGCTGGCTTCCTGGTGAAGTGTGTGTAGGTGTGTCCATGTGCGTATGTGTGTATGCATATGCATGTGTGTGCATGTATTGTGTATGTGTGTATATGTGTGTGTATGTGTATATGTGTGTGTACATGTATATATGTGTATGTGTGTATGCGTGTGTGTGCACGTATATGTGCATGTGTGTATGGGCGTGTATATATGTGTGTGTGTGTGTGTGTGTGTTGTGTTTTAGGTACTATCCTATCAGTCTGACAGCCCTTGACACACGGCAGACACTGAATTAAATGTTGCATGAGGAAATCAGATGCTTTTTGGAAGCAACAAAACCCTTGTCAAAAGCTTTTGGGACAGGTTAGGGATCCAGTCATAAAGGCATGAAGGCTGAAGCAGGTCACAAAAGCCCAGGGTACAAACCTTGAGAGAAGTATGGTGGCAGGGAGGCACTCTGTGGAAAACTGCTGTTACTGAAAGGACAGAAAAAGAACAAAATTTATTTGGATTGGGGTGATGGGGCCAGATAGGGGAGCTTGGTTAGGGAAGCCAGACTGCAAAAGCTTCTTGATCTGGTATCACTTCCCCTGCTGCCCCCAAAACCATGGGGGCTGGGCACAGGGACAGAACTTCACCACATCCCACTGTGGACCATGCCAAAGTCTAACAAGTTTTATAAAGTAGAACAACAACAACATTCAACTGTGTAAAGGGCACTTAAAAGTTACTTTAAACATTGGCTGCAACTTGAGCTCTTTGAGTTGGGAGAATATAGAAGTCCTCTTCTCAGAGGACTTTTCTTTTGCTAGGAAATTATATTAATAGGCATGTCTTTGGTGAGCAGTGAATCCCCAGGCTTAGGGTCTGCAAGGAGAGAGCAGGCCAGGTGAGAAGAGAAGTGCAGGCCAGGTGGGCTCTGCAGCAGAGGGTGATAGTATTTGCAGGGCTGGGGTGGGGAAGCCGGCCCAGGGGGGCCCTGAAATGCTGTCTGTTCCCTCCATGCTAAGCAGCAACTCCTGCACCCATCAGTCCAAGCCTTTAGGAAAAGCCCGCCCTGCACGGCAACCTTGTGCAAGTGGGATTTTGTGCGAATGAAGGATGGGGTTCAGGCTAGTGTGGAGGAAAGCGGCAGGAGAGTCAGCAGACAGGGCAGCAGGGGCCAAGGGGAAGAGAGAGAAGAGCAGTGGAAACTCAGGGGCAGAGGGTCCCAGGGCAGAGGAAACATTGTGAGAATTCTGCTAGGAGTTGGCAGGGGTGGATGAGCCTTGTCGGTGGTTGAGTTTTCTACAATTTTAGGGAAGAGTCTTGACTTCTTTCCTTGAATATTAAGAGAGACGGTGAGCCCACAGGGCTGGAGGACTTGGGGAACACCACAGGCTGTCCCTGGGCTTGTTTGGGGATAATGACTGGACCTTTCTCCTGTTCATGCCTCTGCCCCTGGGCAGCCTCATACCAGCCCTGAGAAACACAGCTGCTACTGAGAAAACAGGGGGACAGAGACTGGAATGAATTCTTAGCACCAGCCAAGCACAAGGCACATTTTCTCAGTCTCCCCAGCCAAGATGCAGATGAACTTCAAGTACTTAGACCAACTGGGTTTCTTAATCCTTGTTGATTCTTTGAACTCATAAAGTGAAAATATTCTTTGTTTTCTACCAAAAGGCCCATTCTACTGGAGGGATCCAGGAGGAAGTCAATTCCTCACCCCTCTCATCTCAAGCAGAGACTCAGAGGACACTGGTGGATTAACACACCCTTCTAAATGCTCAGCTTGGTTTTATGTCTTAAGACCCAAAATGTTCAGACCCTACTATCAACCTGATCATTTCCTTCTTTCTCAATCCACCTGGCATTACTTCAGTACTAGATGGACCTAAACATTATATTCAGCTAGAATTTCACGACAGAGCCACAAACCTTTCTGAGAATGCTCCATGCATGTGAGAGGACGGGAGAGAGTTCATGGGGCTCGGCTTAGCAGATCTCGAAGGGAAAGTGTTGGAGCTCATAGGAAGTAGTGCTGGCTGGGGCAAAGGCCTCTGATGCACTGTGCAGAGGTAGAAAACAATGAATATGATTGTCAGATCCCAGCTCTCACTAAGAAACATTCCATAACTGCCCCCAGTTAGAAACAGCTAGTATAAAGAGGACACAAAAATCCAGCAGATCACATCCAATTAGGCAGTAGTAGGATGGACCCTTGCTCTCAAGATGTTTCTAGATGACTTAACCACCACAGAATCCATTTACAAAGGGGTGCAGATCTAGATAATACTCTAAAATACACATTTATTTGGTTTTTCACTTTTGAAATGTTAACTTGGCAGAAAATTGTCAGCTGGAAACCTTACAAATTTCAGAAGTGATTTACAAGTTTTGTTTTATGAAAGTCAAAATTTTATGCTATCTCATTCATTGGTAGTTACTGATTTTTTACCCAAGCATGTTAGAAGACATAAATGTGAGACATTTTTCCATCAAATCATGCATGCAATTTTACATTTTCTGATACGATTAAGTAATCTGCACTGTTACACATGAATTTCGTCTTCTTTGGTAATCCAACCAAGTAATTCCATTTTACTATAGTTATGCGGTATGCCAATTGACATAAGTCTACTTAATACTAATTTAAGACTTGTAATTGATTCTATGGGGTTCCTGTACTAAACAATTCTGTTTGAATGCCTGAGCAGGAAAATGAAAGAATGAGTTATAAGCTGTAAGAATGTGTTTCCGAACGTACCATCATCTTCATCCTGGGAAGGGGAAGGAAAAAAAAGATATTAAGTTATCATCAAAATACAATTCTTAAAATAAAAACTGTATTTCTCCATCAAATAAGTATCTGCTTCTGTCTTTGGCAGTTATACATCCTTATAATAAATATACTGTGGAGAATAATAGAACTTGCTAAGTGGTTTATAATTTCTTAATACAAACAATCATCTAAGGGCATTCCAGTATGAGATTCTTCTCATATACTTAGCATGAAATAAATTCTGAGGTGCCTAAAAGATATAAATAATATTGACAATATCTACAATGTGTCCAAAAGATTCATACACAAGATTTCATTCAGTTCCCGTGGTGACCCTCCAAAAATTTAACATCCTCATTTTACAAAAGCATGATGCTAAGGAAGAATTCTTAGCTTGCCATGAGTTACAGAGATGGATTCAACCCCAAATATGTCCGACCAAAGCTCAGCCTTCTTTTTGGCTCTCTTTTGCAATGGTCACTCTTCTTAAGAGCAATAAGACCTTATTTATACAGTGGCTTACAAGGTTTATCTACAATCCTCACCATTTTTATCTTCAGAGCAACCTTGGGAAATTAGACAAGGGAGGGACTACTTTATCTTCTACTCAGATAAGAAATGAGGTTCAAAGAGAAAAAATGTTGCCACCAACTAGTAGACCAAAAGGGCTAACTTGAACTTGTTTAGTTAGGCCAGATCTGTAGTGATGAAATAGCATCTTTCTCAAAGTGTTGTTAAAAGGATTAAATTAGTTACTACTTGTGCCTGGCTTATGTTAAGTGCTCTTTAATAGAAGTTTGCCATCAACAATCCTACCACACACTGAGAGAAGGCAAAAAAGGCCACAGTCAAAATCATTCATCTCAGTTGGCCAACTGGGAGTCCCAACAAAGAGCTGCATAAATAAACGCACATGGGCTCACAAACCCCACACGACAAAATCACTCTTCAATACTATTGCAAGTATTTCCCCTCTGGTTCCAGAAAATACAACTCCCAGATTCTCCTAAGCACAAGTGTCAATCCTTCCAGAGCCCGGGAACCTGGAATGTGATGTTATCCTCACTGTCCAGCCTTACCTCCGCCTTGCCCCTATCTCTCTGGCCAAGTTACTGTTCTCACCATCGCTGCAGCCTCCATGGGCACTGGTATCCACCTGCTCAGGACGCTCCTGAGTGGAATCCCTATGGGCTTTCTTTAAGAATGACTCTGTGTCCTTCCTATCATTCAATGACCAGCATAAATCTCACCTCATCTAGGAAGTCACTGCTGGCTCCTTGAGCCACATGGGACACTTTCTTCCCTCAGCCCCACAGAGCATCCCATGACTGCATGCTGTCTGGCATGTGGGGTTGTGGGTGCGCCTGTCTCCATAAGATCTCAGCACTTCATTGGAAGAAGCGCAGAGTCTAGCACAGAGCTGCAAAAATAACAGGCACTTTTGGGCTGAGCCCTTGAACGAGAGCAGGGGTCTGATGGCCGTCAGAGGATTTATGGTGAAGAGAAACTCAGCAGATCTGGGCTCAGATCCTGGCTCTTTACAAGCACGCAATTTGCAAAGAGTATCTTATTCCTTCTGAGCCTCAATTTCCTCTCCGTAAAAGAGAAAAGATGTTTCCTTATAGGTTCATTATACTCATATGTAAAGTGAGTAATACCCAACTCTCCTGGTTTTCCTGGGATGAAGGCAGTTCTTGAGACATGGGGCTTTTCAGTGCTAAAACTGAGAGCATCCCGTGCAAACAAGGGACAGCTGGTCATATTTAAGTAGCATGGCAATGTGCATGTGATAAGCATTCAAGAAATGCTATTTCCCCTCTTTTTCAGGTTGAGGAAGTATTGAAAAGGAAGACAGTAGCCTTGGAAATTTAGGCATGGCCCAAACTTCTGGGCATCCCTTACTTTATCCTCTTCTTTTCCTTGCGCTCTCTAATTACCAGCCCCTGGTAATGGGGCTGCAGTTAACCCAGCCACCCTGGGAGCTCTTAGAGAGACATGAGCTAAACAACACAGCATGATGGACTCCAGACAATGACCAAGGCCCAAAGACAGAGGCACCAGCCCTTAAGATTGTCCTGGGTGCAGGACCAGATCCAGGTGCTGGACCAAGGCCGAGGTGGAGGGAGTCCCAACCTCCTCAGAGCCTACGAGGCTTTTCCCTGTATCAAGCACTTACAAACTGACATTTTGTACTTACATTCTCTCTTCTGTCTGCTCCCCATCCATGCCTGAAATGAATTAGGGCAAAGAGAAAGAACTGAGCGTGAAGCGTTTCCAAGAGCCAGCCTCAGAGTACAGTTTTGCTTCATTGAATAATGAGAAATCGAACCCACGGAGCCCAGGGAAGATGGGAAGCAACAAACCCCCAAGGAGCAGGGGAGGGGGTGGAACGGACATCCGGTTACTCAACGTTCTGTCGTCATTGCAAGCTGAGCTAGGCGAACCTTTATTCTGCATAACCAATGCAGCAGCTAATTATGCGTATATATATAATACATATATATATATATGGTTTAGTCAGCAAACTAACTCTTTAGGAGCTATTAAATTTCACTGAGCTGTTGTTTCTCCCAAGAAATGAAAACATTTTTGGTAATATTCTCCCTTGCTGTTGTTTTAAAACAGCTCTCTCAGGGCCCGCCTAGGTGTAAAGAGAAGACAATGAGAAAACGTTGCTGCTTTGGGACTATTCCAGAAGGGGCTTGATACGCTTTGCCCAGATGAATGAGCCAGTCAAACAGATTTGCGGACAGCTGCCTTAGGGCTGCAACAGGCATCGGCACTGCCTGGGCTGATCATGTCCTCTCTGGGGAGATGGGGGAGAGCGGGACAATTTGTTGCTTCACACATCATAATCTCAACCTGTGTTTATTCAAAATTTTGGAAATTTGTTCCTTATGAGTTTGTTGCATTTATTTTGATTTTTTAAAAATATTACACTAAAATGTTATCAAACTCCATTACTGAGGAGATTTTTGGCACACACTTTAGCCTTGGTCCTAATTTAATCCTCACAACAGTCAAGCAAGGGCGATAGTTATGATCCCTGATTCACAAATGAGATGGAAGCCTTGGTTGTATCCTTTGCAAGCAGCAAGGTTGGCCTTAACCCCAGGTACATGTGTGCCATTTGGTAAATAGTCTGAAAACTACTTCATAGCAAAGTTAAAAATACTAAGGCAGAGCTCAGTATTCTGCAATTATAAAATGTGGTTGAGCAGTAAGGAAGACACTTGCAGTGACCTAAAAACCTCCCCCAGTCATTTCCTCTCTGCTACTTGTATTGAAAAATAAAATGGTGAGTACGGTTCCTAGGCACTGTGAAGGCTTTGCTATGACGAGGTAGGAAAACTCAATGAAATATTTGACTGGAATCTCTAAAAACAGCAGTCATCCCACGCCCTTGATTAGATGCCGCTCTACTCATTTCTCAGTAGAGTCCATTTCCTTCAAAGAGACCCTGATCCTTCATAGCCAACCTGTGAAGCCTGAACATCCCTCAAGCCACAGCAAAAAAAAAGGCCCACCCCGCCCCAGAGCACCGTGGAGCCCAAGAGCACCAAGGAGCCTCGGTTCCCACTGCAGAGTCAGCACAGGACAGCCTGTCTGTCGGCCACTCTGAATGACAAGCTCAAGCAACACCAGACAGTTACTTTGGCACAGGTGGCTTCTTCCCCGGTAGGGGGCTGCTTCTTTCATGTCTTTCTGTGGTCGGTGGTAAAGGAGGCTTTTGAACCTTGGGTAAATGCTCCCCGAGAGGCCTGTGGAGTTCAGGAAAAGGATGTGTGAGAAACAAATTTTGCCAAGGCAGAGTTCTACAGAGTGTCCCGTGTACCCTCATGTAGATGCAACGGTCTTACCTTCCCGCTGGAATTGAGGGCTGCAAGACAGGAGGGAAGATGTATGAGTGTCCAAGCACTTTTCAAATAATAAAGACAAGATGCGAAAAAAACAAGCAAAACCAAAAATCAAGGTCACAGCTTACCTTGTCAGAAAACGGTGGTTTCTTTCCTGTAAATAAAAATGACAGACAGCAGATGGGCCATGAATTCAGAACTTCATAAGCATGAGGTTTAAAAACAGTTTGATGAAACTATGTCTGAACCCTTTTGGAGGTTGACAAGGATTAAGCATCAAAGCATGTTGGGGGTTGATGGGGTTTAAGTAGAAACTTTAGACTAGGAAGGGTCCCTTACAGAGCACCAAAGTTTATAAGCTCAGAGAAATTAAATGGCTTGACCATTTACATTTAAGGTCACACAGCTTTGTGTACATACCAGTAGTATTGCGGATTCTGTGCTTTTAAAAAAAAAATCAACATTTTCTTTTATATAACTGATGATCAAAAGGATTCATGTTTTCTTTGGGATTTTATGCCTCTTTAATTGGTCAAAGTATTTCTTCTGCAGCCTAAGTTTTATTTTCATATCTGAAATAAACCCACTTGCCATGGAGAGGTTAATTTTTATCCAGTTCTGTAAAACACTTGAAATTAAATGAAACACTCCACTTAGTTTGTAAAAAACTTTTAACTTGGGGAGAGCATTTCAGGAGATTCTCCTGGTATGCTGCAAATCTTTTCTGTCTGCTTGGTTTTTGTTGGTATTTGTTTGTTTTGCTTTTCTTCTAGCACAGTTGATATTCAGGCTCCCTGAAGAAATGCCAGGTGTACTTGATAATTCTGCATCACAAAGTTATTCAAAGCAATTTAATTTGTATTCTATCTGAAGTCCCCTAGAATAAATATGTCCTTTGTCTTCAATGTGATAAAAGTATTACTAACAGAATTCAACCAGGTCTAGAAGCAAATCCTATATGACCATGAGCAAGTTATTTAAGGTTTTTCAGTCCCAACGCTATCATCTCTAAAATGAAGATTATAGATTAAAACTCTATAGGTTTGCCATAAGAATTGGGTGACAATTTGTATGCAGGATCAGGCACTTGATTGTGAAAGCTGATCATACAAACTGGGAATTTTATCACATCCAAGGAAAACAGTCGAGAAGCCAGAGGAAAAAGCACTCAGGACACATATCATTGCTCCAGAAATGTGATTCTGTGCGAGGCTGGCTGCTGAAACTGCCTGCTGTAACCTGAAACCACTTTTATCTGGTAGTTGCTGAAATAATCTGCTGCCACTTGAAGATTAATTTGCCCTCTGCCATCGCTCACCAATCAAAACTTGCCAGCCCCCCAGAACCATGAACTTTCTCTCTTTTTTTCTTTTTATTTAGACAGAGTCTCCCTCTGTCGCCCAGGCTGGAGTGCAGTGGCGCGATCTCGGCTCACTGCAAGCTCCGCCTCCCGGGTTCCCGCCATTCTCCTGCCTCAGCCTCCCCAGTAGCTGGGACTACAGGCGCCCGCCACCACGCCCGGCTAATTTTTTTGTATTTTTTAAGTAGAGACAGGGTTTCACCATGTGAGCCAGGACGGTCTCAATCTCCTGACCTCGTGATCCTCCCGCCTAGGCCTCCCAAAGTGCTGGGATTACAGGCATGAGCCACGGCGCCTGGCTATAACCAATGAACTTTGTCAATGAGCGATATGTAACACTTCTCTTTTCAATAAAACCTCCAATCTTCTTTATGTTCTTCAGACATACTGAAGACCCTGAAGACCAATTGCCCCAAATTGCAATTCTTTCTTCCTAAATAAAACAAATTTAGAGATTTGCCTCTACGTTTTTATTTTGACTTTGATATGGTCATATGGGCTGACGATTGTTAGTGAACTCGCCTTTCTTTCCCTTCCTTCCACACCCAGGCACAGCTAATGCCCTATGGCGAATGGTGTGGAGTTGTATTTTCACAACATGATTTATTCTTTAAGGACCAAGTATATGCCAGGCCCATGATAAGAATATTGCCTCACTGTGAAGAGCTTACTGGCACTGAGTGTGGTGGCTCATGCCTGTTGGGAGGCCAAGACAGGAGAATCACTTGAGGCCAGGAGTTCAAGATCAACCTGGTGAATACAGGGAAACCCCAGTCTCTACAGAATATTTAAAAATTAGCCAGGCATAGTGGCATGCACCTGTAATCCCAGCCCTCTGGGAGGCTGGAGAAGAAGGATTGCTTGACCCCAGGAGTTTGGTGCTGTAATGAGCTATGATGGTGCCATTGCACTCCAGCCTGGGTGACAGAGTGAGACCCTGACTCAAAAAAAAAAAAAAAAAAAAAAAGGAACTTGCTGGTAGTGGGGAGAGTTTTGATGGTATAAAAGCTGTTTATGAAACTTTGCTTTGGGGTGGAACCTCTAATAAGTATGTTAAAATTTGCCAATTTTTGCATATTCTCTGAGTACGTTAAAAGTCTCATGTGGAGTGTAAACATTTTAAGAAGTCAGTAATCCTTCCAAAACATCACAGAAAAGGGACTAATTCAAGGGAAAAACAGAAATTGTCAGAAAAGTGTGTCTTTTAAAAATGTTTTTAAATATAGAAAAAAAGAATCTTTTAAAATAATAACTTTTGTGTCAGGAGGGGATTGTGAAGGATTTGATGCCAGTGTTCCACTTTTCTGATGTCTTGGCTCATGGCAGTGATCAGGGTTGGAATCTAAAGTCAAATCTGTCTTCATTTCCATGTAATTACACAGCTCTCTATAGCAGACGATTCCAAGCCAAAACAGCCAGCACAGCTTTGCATGACTCAGCAGAGCTGTGATGTACTTCGGGGAAAGAGCAGTGAGCAGCAGCCTCAAATCCAAGAACTGAAAGTCATTTTGCTGACAGACAAAAAGGGATTGAGGCCACAGAAAGCTAAATGCCTGGCTCAGAGCACAGCCAAGAAAGGGGTGGGGGGCAGCTGGGATTCTGAGCTCCTTTCCGTTCAGTTGCAGAGTTCCTTCCTCAGACTCATGTAGTTCACAGCAAGTTAAAACCCAGGGTCCTCAACTGCAGCGTGATATGGTGGAAAAGAGCCCCCACTTAGAAGTCAGAAAGACGAGGATTCAAATTTAGGCAAATTATTCAACTTCTTTGACCCTTAATTTTATCATCTGAGAAGCGAGGATAAAAATGCATGTCCTTTGTTGAGTTGGTGTGAGGATTAGAGATACTGTAGGTGTATTCGCAGTATGTAGAGCACTTGCCCCATAGTAGTTGCTCAATAAATGGTAGCTAAGTTTTAGAATTGAATTGAAAATAGCTCCCCATGAAGGTAACTGCAATCCAAGAATATTCCGTGTAAATTGTGAAGAAAAAGGACTGTGGTATACCCAAGTTTGGTCAATTGTGTACCTAAAACCAAAACATCCCTGACATTTGAATAGCACCTTAGGGATTTTATAAAGCATTTTCTATGTACAGAACATCCACCTTACAGATTAGGAGATTGAGCCCTGAAAAACTAACATCCCAGTGGTCTGTGAGCTGCTAAGTAGCAGGCAAGGCAGCAGACACCAGCTCCCCCAACCCCCTTGTCTCAATTCAGATCCTCTCTCTGTACCCCAAAGCCTCTTGGCTGAAGGACAATGGGATTTCTGTACACAGATCACACACATCACATAGAGAAGCAGCGCCACCCCCAGGAGCAGAGAGCAAGAGCTTTCTAATGGGGCAAATCTGGGTTTAGGTCTCTACTCCCACCACTTGGTAGCTGTGTGATCTTGGGAAGGTACCTCTTTGTGTTTCAGTTTCCTCATCTGTAAAATGAGGATGATTCTATTAGTCTCCATTTCCTAGTATTGTGGCCATAGTTACATGAGATGGTGCATGTGAAACGCATGCAGGAAGCACTTTATAACAGCTTATTATTATTACTATGCGTTAAATGTGAATCATACCCACCTAGTGTGAAGGGTTCTCTGTCAAACGGAGCTAATGAACGATCTAAGGGAGGTTTGGTGCTTCTGTCTATTGAAGGAGCAGGGACTGGAAGGGGAAAAGGCTGACATCAATGAAAAGAAGAAAGCAGTCGGCTGGGGATGGGGTGGGGCTAGGGGAGTGCCTGGTGGGAACAGGGCAAGAGAGAGCAGCCCTTGTACTCACGCTTTGCCGTTTTGTGGTTTCTGCTTCTGCTGGGTTCTTCGTGGTTGGTCTGGGGTGGTGGTAGTGGCTGCATAAAGATCCAGACGTTAGGAAGCATTTCCAATACATCAGCAAGACCTGGCACTCCCAAAACCTCTCTGGATCTGCTCACTTTTCCTTATCTTCATGTTCTGCCTAAAAACATCCATGACCATTTCTTCCCTGAACTACTGCAGCAGCCTCCTATCTGAGCTCCCTGTTCTAGACTCTGCCACGCAAGCTCTTTTCTGCAGGCAGCGGAGTGAGCATGTCATTTTCCTGATAAGACTTCCAGTGGCTCCTACCACATTAGAAACAAAATTAAAACTCGTTAATGTCCTGCAAGGCCCTGCCTGAGCTGGCCCACGTCTGCTCTCTCAACTCTTTCCTGTGATCCCTTCTCAGGACCCATGGGGTCTCCACCTTAGAATCTTCTTGCAGTTCTTGGAAAATCTCAAGGTCATGCCCTCTTTGGCATCCCTACACTTGTTTCCCTCTGCCTAGAATGTTCTTCTCCCAGGTCTTCCTACAACCGGCTCATTCTGTCCCAGCTCCTTGTCACCTCCCCCCTCCACACCATCATGTTACCTGGTCTTCTGTCCCCCCAACCACACATAACTACTCAAATGATCTCTTTCAGACATCTGTCTACCGTCTGACGACCTGTCTCCCCCTAGCCCTAGTTGAGCTTTAGGAAAGCAGAGACCTCATTTATCTTGTTTCCACTTTATCCCCAATGCCTAGAACTCTGCTTGGCACATAGTAGCTGCTCAGTCAATATTTGCTGATTAAATAAGTGAATCCTGAATCTCAAAAGAAGGTCTTCAAATGTCAAAGGTAATATGCACTTGTGGATAAACTTGTGAAGAGAACACATTCGTAACTATCAATTCCTTAGTCTGAGCATCTCAGGGTCACTCTGGAAACTTATCAGATTCACAAGAGCTAGGCTGTATGCTTGAAGAAAGAGAAAACGGGGTTTGCTACCTCTGTCTCCTCCGGTCGGAAGGCACCTGTCCCTGGAATTTCAGGTGTCGGCCAGAAGGTGGCGCAAGTCTTTTTGCAGGGAGAGGCCCACGCAACACCAGTAGGTGCCACGGGCTTAATTCAGTTCTCTTTGGGTTTATTTTACAGTTTTCACTTCTCTCAAATAGTGGGAAGTAAACAAAAACCACCAGTATTTGACCCCAGAAAAGAAACACTTGTGAGTGCTTGGGTATGCATTTCCCCAGCCGAGGGAAAACATTATAATCTTTTCTTACAAAATTAGAATGAGATAAAGATGTTTATAGTTTTATTTTTCTCTCTGGCGGAGGAAATCACTGCAGTGGACACCAAGTAAAAGAACGGGAGGAGGCCTACCGAGTGGTTCCGGCCGGCGGGCGGGGCCGGGAGGGCGGCCATCGGTCTCTGGGGGGGCACAGGAGGCTGCTGGGGGGTTTTCCCAGAGGGGGGCCGGTCTGTGGAAACACAAGGTTATTAAAGTGAAATGGGAGTGTGAGCCAAGCTCAGGGGTCTCCAGGAACAGATATGCAGCTCGGGACCCCCAGGCCCACACCAGTGTCAGCAGGAGCCCCAGCCACGGGGAGACCCAGCCTGGATCTCACCCACCCTTCCCTGCCCATTTTTTCTGTCCTAGTTTGTGTCACTCTCCTTATACGCAGGCTCGGCTCTCTTTGCACTTCACAGGAATAGGTATTTATCCGAGATTTTGCCAATCAAGAAAGGCCTCTTTGCAATTAGCTCAGCCAAAACTGGAAGGGAGGATTTTCAGACAATTTTGTAAAGAAGTATACATACACATGCCTCTGTATGCAGACACACAAATATACACATGTGCACACATGCACGCACACACATGTATATGCACACACCTGCACACACAGAGACACGCGTGCACAAGAGACACACACGCATGCCAAAAATCTCACAGGCACACCCAGTTGCCTGTGCAGGGTGAAGTCAGCTCTCACTGCCATAGGGATCCTGTTCTGTCTGCCCTTCCTTCCCCTCTCCAACGTCCTGGGCGCTCTCCTCCCTGACACTTCCTCCTTTTGCTCATCTCTTCCCATAAAGGGAGGAGCTGGTCACCAACTTCTCTTACCAGACCACAGACTCTTAAGTGGAAGCTAGATTTGCCTTGAACAGAAACTCACATTATCTGGGTAGAAACTCACATTATCCAGATCTCCAGGGAAGTGTCCCTAGGCCGGGTTGACAGGTTGGCAATTTCCTACCCCTTAGACAGGGAAAGCCCAGGACAAGGCCATCAAGCAAGAGGGGTGAGTGGGTAGGGCCTCCTAATGCTTTGTGCCCTGGGTGCCTCTCTTGCCTGACTCTAGTCCCAGCCTTGGAGAGGTGCGGTTCTTCCACAGGGAAGCGGGTAGGAGCAAGCCCAGCCTGACCTAATCCCACCCCACTCCACCCGCACTGGCCATCTCTCAGCTTCTCTAATACGCTGTGCTCCTTTGAGCCTCAGGGCCTTTGCACGGCCATTTCTGCTGCTTCAAATGTTCTTCTTTACCACATCCACTTCCACTTGGCCAACTTGTATTCATCCTTTAATCTTGGTTTAATATCACAGCTTAAAGATTACACCCTCAGGCAAACGCTCCAGCCTCATCTCCTGCACTTGTCTTCCTGTCTCTGTGTCACAGTTTCACTAAGTAACCTCATGGCTCATCTGTTGGAGGCTGCCTCACCCGCCGGACTGTCAGTCCCTTGACGAGGGCTGTCGTATTCACTCTGTATCTTAATGACTGGCACACACAAGGCACTCAACAACTGACTTATCCATTGCTTCTCCAGACCTCCACTTCCCTATATAAGAAATAGACTTGATCATGGTTATCCTTATTACACAGATGTTTAAAAACCACCATGAGACATTGAGACAGCATTTTGTGAAAGGGCTTTAACATGGAAATGGGTTATACTACATAAAGGATTAAATGGTATTCGTTTTCTGTGGTACCGATCTTCCATTTTCAGCTTACACCCTGAAAGTATATTATGCACGTATATATTTGTTTATTTTCTGTCAACACCACTACTAGAATGTAAGCCCGAGGGGGCAGGGGCTGTGTCTTCTTTCCTGATCATTTCTAAGCACTGAGAATGGGACCTGGGCTCCCAGCAGATCAACGATGTTTGTTGAATGAACACACCGAGAGAGAAGTGGGCCAAAAGGACAGATAGACAAGAAAAATCATAAATACTGTCTATTTTTTTAAAAGTTACAGTCAAACCCTACTCAATATCTTCATGTTTATTCTAGCATAATAATGTCATGTAACTGTAATTTGGTCAAAAGACGGGGAGCAGCCAGGAGCGATGGCTCAAGCCTGTAATCCCAGCACTTTGGGAGGCCGAGACGGGCGGATCATGAGGTCAGGAGATCGAGACCATCCTGGCTAAAACGGTGAAACCCCGTCTCTACTTAAAAATACAAAAAACTAGCCGGGTGAGGTGGTGGGTGCCTGTAGTCCCAGCTACTCAGGAGGCTGAGGCAGGAGAATGGCGTGAACCCGGGAGGCAGAGCTTGCAGTGAGCTGAAATCCGGCCACTGCACTCCAGCCTGGGCGACAGAGCGAGACTCCGTCTCAAAAAAAAAAAAAAAAAAAAAGACGGGGAGGAACAGGAAAGTACTCTTGGAGTACCTGAGTAAACTGCATAATGAGTTGAAACTGCCAAACAGCCTTAGGTGGTAGTTCAATGCTGATGGCAGCCACCGCAGGCAAGAATTGGTTGCAGTATTAGTAGTCCTCACGGCAAACCTATGTGGTCTGTACATTTATTACCCTATTTCACAGATGAGGAAATTGAGGCCCAGAGAGGCAGAGTTACTTGAATAAAGCCACATAGCTGTTGAGAAGCCGAGCAGGTATCGGCACCCAGAGCTTTCCGCTACACGGGCAAGCTGGGGCATCGGTCTTCCGTGCAGCAGTGGGGAGCTTGGCTTTGGGCTGCTGGGGCCGGAAAATCCAGAAATGGGCCCTTACCGATGTACATGGAGTTGGAGTTGGGAAACGGCTTGGCAGGCAGGATGGAGTTCTGCAGAGCCTCCTCGTCATTGGAGGGTGGCGGCTCATAGTCGGCGTCGTCTTCCACGGGTGCCTCTTCCTCCTCATTGGGGGACTCATAGTCTCCGTCATCCTCCCCATCCTGGTCATCATTGGGACTTTCATAGTCGTCTTCTTCCTGCCAACACAGTGATAGGGACAGCGCAGTTTGTAGAGGCTATGCGGCCCTCAATGTGCCTGTGCCCACTCTCTCCCTGCCAAGCCTCATCACAGTATAACCCGGGGCCAGGCAGCCTGAAGACAGTTACTCCCATTTTACGGATGAGGAATCTGAGGTCAGGGAGCACCGTATCACAGGGGCAGCCAGTCATGGACTTGAGACCTGGTGAAGGTCTTCAGACAATCATTTTACACAACACCTTTTTGCACCACAGAGAAAAGAGAAGAAAGGAGAAGGATGCTGGAATAGAGGGTACTGGAATAGACTCTGTCTTGAGTTAACACATTTTTTGCTCCAGGCATCACCAAGAGAAAGACTAAAGGCCTGGAGCATTTGTGATGATAGTAGTTAATTGCCACTTCTGTTCAAGTGTGCCTGTGCTCAGAAAATGTCCTCTCATTATAACCTAGCGCAGCACTGAAGGCCTAGCTAATGGGGAAAACAGATAAACAAAGCCTGTTAAGTGGAAGGCAGATTAGGTTGTGTCTAGGAGGGGACGGTCAGAGGCTGTGCTATTCTTTTTGCTGAGAGTTGAGTGTATCAACACATCCATTATTCATGAAATCTGACACTGAGTGTGAAGCTGCTCTCTTGGAAAGAATCTCTAAATTTTAGATTTTTTATTGTATTTAATTTTTGCTTCTTCCTGGGTCTCAGGGAAAGTAAGCCTGAGGTGCTGGGTGCTTTTGCCTTTGAAGCAGTGTGTGAAGGTGAACGAGCATTGGAATGACTTCCCAAGCAGAGGCAGCAGCATCAGCAACAGTGATGAGTGCTCATCACAGTCATGCCAAACTCTAGGGCGCGAGTCAATGAGCCCAGACCTCAACGCTCAAGGGCAGTGTGGGAAAAAGCAATGGGAAGTGGCCACTTCTCGAGGAAAGCGATGTTCCAACGTCCTAGAAATCCTGACAGCTTTGGGTGGTCTCAGGCAGACTGTCTTTAAGTTGTTCTGTTGAAAGATTCCTGTGTTTGTTTTTGACTTGAGGAATATTAAAAACATCAACAATAGAGTGGCAAAGTGAGCACTGGGTGCCTTCCCAACTCCAAAAAATGACTTTGTCCTGCCCTGTCAGTGTTGTTATTACTTAGGAGCAGGTGGGCAGAGCCCCGGAGGAATGCTGCTTCAGATCAAGAGCCTCAGCATGGAGGTCTGCAGGCACGTGGCCTCCCTCCAGCCGCTGCTGACCCCTCCCTCACCCTGTCTGCCCTAGGCCCGTCATTCCTGACTTTACACCAGCTCTTTACCCTATCAACCTTTCTCAAATGACAGAGTTTTCCTCTCTGCTTCTAGAACAATCATTTTCTCCCAATCATTTGGCTTCTAAATTTGTATGCATGGTGGTATTGCTAATTATATTCTGCCATATGTGTGTTAAAGTAAATTAAAATGGAGACAAGGCCTGAAGAATCCCTGAGCAGACAAAACCAGTTGAGTCTCATCAGTGACCTAAACCTTACTTGATTTGCAAGCATAAGCAAAAGTTAACTTGGGTTATTTCTTGTCAATGTTTATATTAAAGAAAAACAGAACTTAAGCTCGACCAATCAGAAGTAGCCAGCAAACTTATAATTATATAACTAGGAGCTTTCCAGCAAGATAGACTGAATGAGATCGGTTATAACTATAATCCATCAAATATTTTCTTTCTTTCTTTCTTTTCTTTTTTTTTTTTTTTTTGAGATGGAGTCTCATTCTGTCGCCACACTGGAGTAGTGCAGTGGTGCAATCTCAGCTCACTGCAACCTCCGCCTCCCAGGTTCAAGTGATTCTCCTGTCTCAGCCTCCCGAGTAGCTGGGATTACAGGCACACACCACCACGCCCAGCTAATTTTTGTATTTTTAATAGAGACAGGATTTCACCATGTTGGCCAGGATGGTCTCCATCTCTTGACCTTGTGATCTGCCCACCTCGGCCTCCCAAAATGCTGGGATTATAAGTGTAAGCCACTGCACCCAGCCCAAATATTTTCTTTGTATTATATCCACATTCACTTTATAAACGCTTATCCCTCATCCTTCTTCAGCAAAGCCTCCTTCTGGTTTGGTGCTGCCTGATTCATGAATCACTGTTTGCTCAAATAAACTCCTTAAAAAAAAATTGCATTATGCCTCAGTTTATCTTTTTAAAATGGGGTATCCATACTGTGAAATGCTCAGGATTGGGTCCTTTATCTCCACTCCTTTCCCTGTATGTGCTTGCAAAGAGCTGGGCACATGATGGAGCTGCCAAGCTGTATAGCCACTGGTGAATGGAAGCCCTCGGTTTACAGAGAGGATTGGAGACTAGCCTCAGGCACAGCACAAGAGAGGCTGCACGGCAGGGATTCCGCCTCTGTGAGTAAACAGAAGTTTTTCAGCGGAAACTCGGGGCTGTTTTCCCTTTGTACCAAAGAAATCTGTGAGATTCCTTCATTTTCAAGTAGAAAGCATAAACTTAGCTAAAACTTTTTTCCCCCCCAAATTAAATGCTTTCTTTTACCAGAATCCCAATAGACCAAGCGGGACCTATTTGTGTTTCTGCTGTTTTTTTTTTTTTTTTTTTTTTTTTTTTGAGACACAGTCTCGCTCTGTTGCCCAGGCTGGAGTACAGTGACGTGATCTCGGCTCACTGCAAGCTCCACCTCCCAGGTTCACACCATTCTCCTGCCTCAGCCTCCTGAGTAACTGGAACTACAAGCGCCCGCCACCGCGTCCAGCTAATTTTTTTGTATTTTTAGTAGAGACAGGGTTTCACCGTGTTAGTCAGGATGGTCTGGATCTCCTGATCTTGTGATCCACCCACCTCGGCCTCCCAAAATGCTGGGATTACAGGCTTGAGCCACCACACCCGGCCTGTTTTTGCTTTCTAAAGGCACTAGAGGCAGCCTCTTACGGGAAGGACCACATAACTGAGGGTCTGGTTACCTGGGTCCTAGGTCTGCCTCTAACTAGCTTTGTGTTCTACACAAGTCACATTCTGCTCTCCTGTGGGCTTAGTTGCCTCATCTGTAAAATGAACAGATTGGGTTACAGTCCACAATAGAGTTCTTAGCCTGAGACTGCTTCGTGGGTGGTGACTGTGTATATAGGTTCCTGGAGAGGGGCCGTACAATCCATCAGACTCTCAGAGTGGGCACTGTGACCTTGCAATGTAAAAACCAACTGGATCGCACCCTTTTGAGGTCTTTTCCGGGCTAACAGTGGGTTCTGAAGTTCTTCTCCCTCCGTGCCACCAATGGGGACTTAAGTCCATGAGAAAAGCTACTTGAGGGTAGATTTCTAGGACTGTCCATTTTTGGAGATGGGGGTTGTGAGTGGGGGGTGGTAGCAGTGGGTAAAATGCAGTCAGCAAAGTACAGCCTAGGGCCACGTGCAGCCCACCCTCTATGTTTGTAAATGAAGGTTTATGGGCACAAAGTCAAGCCTATTTGTTTGCTCATTGTCTGTGGCTGCTTTTGTGCTCCCGTAGCAGAGTTGAGTAGCTGAGACAGAGGCTGCATGGCTCCCAAAGCCAAAACTATTTCCTGTCTGGCCCTATGCAGAGCACCTTTTCTGGGCCCTGGGTGGGTGTGCTGGCACCATGTTAGAGCCCCACTCCACTTGGCTCCATGCTGGGTCCATATCACAAAGCCGCCCTGGACACTGCTGTAAAGGTGCAAGAACAGCCCACACCATACTCACAAAGGACGACCAGCCCCCATTGTCCTCTTCGTGGCTTTCTGTGGAAGGAGATGACACCACCGTCAGCACTGAAGAAAGCCGCCGCTTGAAGGAAAGTCAAAGCTTCCCCATTTGATGCCTTCCCTCACCAATGCCCCTTCCCCGGCCTCCACCTACCTTCCACACCCCTGGGGGTTGAGCCACTTACTGTCAGCTCCAGAGACCCTGCCCAAGGTGCTCATTCTACCTGAGCATGAGCAATGGTTCTCAACCTTTCACATGTGTAGCAGTGATTTAGGAAGTGCTTTAAGACCTGTAGTTACCTGGGGGCCTGTGCCTACTGCTTCTGACTCAGCAGGACAGGCCAGGCCCCAGGAATCTGCATTGCAACACTTGTGCGATTGAACAGTTGAAAAGCTGCTTTACTGTAATCCCAGCACTTCGGGAGGCTGAGGTGGCGGTCACGAGGTCAGGAGATCGAGACCATCCTGGCTAACATGGTGAAACCCCGTCTCTATTAAAAATACAAAAAATTAGCCGGAGCAGTGGTGGGTGCCTGTAGTCCCGGCTACTCGGGAGTCTGAGGCAGGAGAATGGCATGAACCTGGGAGGTGGAGCTTGCAGTCAGGCGAGATCGCGCCACTGCACTCCAGCCTGGGCGACACTCCAGCCTGGGCGACGGAGCGAGACTCTGTCTCAAAAAAAAAAAAAAAAAAAGACAAGCTGCTTTAAAGACTCAGATGCAGGGGGACTAGCTCAGCTCAGGTGCTCACTCAGAGGCGGGGTCCCTCTGTTTTCCTCTACAGAGCCCCCAGAGTTCCTCAGTGTGTCTCTGAAGATGGTCCCAGCAGAACAGGGGCCATAAGCCAGGTGCCCTGCAGAGCGACATCTCCTCCCCTCCATCTAGACCCAAACTGTTTTCTGGGTAAGAAATGGCTGACAGACAAGTCAGTAAGGTCACCTGAATGAACTCAAGGAGCCCCCGGAACCAGAAAGGCAAGAAAACGGAAATACCTATCACCAACTAAAGCAATCACCTCTCAGCCCTGATAGCTTTACCTGTCTCTTCAGGAAACCGCTGGACTTGGGGTCTGCAAAGGCAAATAGCATTGCGTTAACGGTCCTGTTGATTTAAGGCGATCTCCCTCGTTCCTCAAACTGGCCCAGCGAGAGGGAGCCCCAGTGGAGAGCATGTCTCACTGCTCAAGAGGGGCTTGTGTCCTTGCTGCTCAGCAACTGGGGCTAGGATACCCTGAAAATTCTGGAAATCACCAAGCCACATGAGTGGCATGACTGGAAGCTCATGACTGTCTGATGCTCTAGAGGGAAGTTCCCCTGATGTCCCAGACCCAGGGACAGGATGCAGGGCAGGGGAGGAAACCCCTTTCTCTCCTTGGACACCATCTTCCAGACCCCTGGGATTCAGGGGACCAATGCAGGTCAAAAAGTAAGGCAAAACAGTTCTGTGCCTCCCTTTTAAGGTTCAACTTGGGATTGAAAAACCTTGCGTTTCCTTACACCAGCCCCACTCACTTGCGTGTGAAGATGCTCCTCCTCTCTTCGTTCTTGTTGATTTCTTGACTTAACTTACTGAGAATCCTGCAAGATAAAGAGACAGATGAAGAGACAAAACCACCTTCTCTCAGTCTCAACCTTCCCCCTGACCCTTGATGTCCCCTGGTCTATAGAAACTTGGGGCACCAGGGCCAACTTTAGCCAACCTCCTCTTTGTCACCTCTGCAGGGACCCTCTGCTCCTCACTTCCTCCCAGAATTTGCCACCTTATTCTCCAGGCCAGACCTTCCTCCTGCCCAGGAAGCCTTCTTTCCTCCTTGCTGATCTGTGTCTGGCTGAACCTTCCAAGTCCAGCTCAGAGCTCCTCTTTAAAGACTTGTCAGCTCACACCTGGCTTTCCCTCTGAAAATCAGGAGCCTTAGGATCTGGGTACAAGAGCTGTGTATTTTCTTGTCTTACTATTCCTGGGGCTGAGGTCCCCTGGCTCTGCATGACCTGGCAGTGCTGTCTTGTTCCCAAGAATCTTCAGACCATCATCTAGACCCACAGAAATCAGCTGCTCCTTGGAGATTTCTTATCACAACCTCTAGTGGGCTGTTCTGTGGGCTGCCATCTCCTTCCATCTTCCCCTCCCAGACTCCCACTCGGTGATGTGGATTCTTATAAAAGCTTGGGGAGGTATTCTCTATAATGGCAGGGGCTGTAGAATGAGAGACTCCCTGAATCGCTCATGTCCCTGAGACCAGTTTTGACGAAGACACTTGAAGATACTCTTAGTCCCCAGGTTCCTTCATGTCAGAACTAGTAAATCCCCAAATCCCAGGATAGAACTGGGGGAGCTGGGGCAAGAGGGCTTTGCTGTCAGAAATGTATCTCCAGCATGCCCTAGCAACAAGCATCCATTGCAGTCTCTCAAACATCCAGAACTTGAGACTCTAGCCCCATTGGTCACTGATGAGACCAACAAGACCCTTGGTAGTCAACAGGCTTAGTGTTTCCTCAAGATTTGGGGCAACTGGAAGGAACCTCAGATTGTCAGTCCAATTTCATTTTACAGAGGAGGTGGCAGAGGCCCAGACAAAGAAGGGACTAGCGGATCATGAAGTCAAGAGATCAAGACCATCCTGGCCAACATGGTGAAACCCTGTCTCTACTAAAAATACAAAAAAAGCTGGGGCATGGTGGTGCGTGCCTGTGGTCCCAGCTACTTGGGAGGCTGAGGCAGGAGAATCACTTGAACCCAGGAGGTGGAGGTTGCAGTGAGCCGAGATCATACCACTGCACTCCAGCCTGGGCGACAGAGGGAGACTCCATACTTTAAAAAAAAAAAAAAAAAAGGGACTAGCTTGAAGCCACACAGTAGTTAGTGGTAAAGACCACCCTTCTTCCCACAACTCACACCAGCACCAAAAGCTAGCCTTTCTAATTTCCAAGCCAGCGCCCTTTCAATGCACACACCCCTGTGTCAGTTCCCTTTCTGCTGCGAGCTCTCTGGAGGCAGACACTGTTGAGTCCCTGGCCTGCCTATGAGAGTGGCTCATGATCTCTACTCTTTCTGCTTAACGACCATCTCAAAGTAACGAGTTTAGCCTAAAATAAACTTGCTAAGTTAGCAAAGGAAGTCCTTAGCAGCCACCATTTCTTGATTCCTCCATCACCTCCCCTGCCCCTCAACTCCCCCATTTCTCCCAATAAATGGGATCCAGGCTGGGCGCAGTGGCTCATGACTATAATCCTAGTACTTTGGGAGGCTGAGGTGAGCAGATCACTGAGGTCAGGAGTTCGAGACCAGCCTGGCCAACACGGTGAAACCCCGTCTCTACTAAAAATACTAAAATTAGTCGGGCATGCTGCATGCCTGTAATCCCAGCTACTCAGGAGTCTGAGGCGGGAGAACCACTTGAACCTGGGAGTCAGAGGTTGCAGTGAGCCGAGATCACACCACTGTACTCCAGCCTGGGGACAAGAGCAAAACTTCGTCTCAAAAAAAAAAAAAAAAGAAATGGGATCCAAACCTCCTACCTCATTAGAATAATAGGATAAACAAATTTTGATCAACACATTGGGTACTTAAGAGGAAAGAGAAGGAGAAAGGGAAAGGTTTGCTCTCTGTAATAATACTGTTGACAACTCCAGGCTTCTGTGACTGCGCAGAGAGAGAGAGGTTTTAAGAGCAGCAGTGGGGGCTTCCCAGTCGCCTCCTGACCATGCTGTCAGAGTGCTTGTGACATGGTTCTTTTTGGTTCCTTTAAGTGGTTGTTTCGAGAAGGCAACGGGCATGTGGGATGGAAGGACTCCTACAGAGCGGGCGAGGGAGCCCCGTTAGTGTTCTGTGTCCTTGCCATGTCAGGCAGTGCTGGCTGCAGCAGCCACTCCCATTCTGTCACCTGTTTATTCAACAATGTGCACTGAGGGCCTTCTAAGTGCTGGGAACTTAGAAGTGCTCAAAGTGCATCAATGAACAAAACAGACAGATCCCTGCTAGTGGAGAGGAAGCTTTAAGGAGGGGAAATGTGATGCATATGCACCGTGCGCATGCAGCGTGGGGGGCTGGGGAGGGGAATGGGAGTGCAGGAGTGGGGTGCGGTTGCCATTTAAAATGATCGGGCCTCACTGAAGAGGTGACATTTCAGTAATGACTTGAGCGAGGTGGGACTGAAGCTCACCTCAACGCCCTCCTCCTACAGAGCTTGACGGCGCTCTGACCAGCTCACAGCGCTGCTTTGGATCTTGAAAGAACCTCCTGCTCTCTGTGGTGTTGCCTCTCACCAGTATCTCTACAGCCAGGCTGGAGGCTGCTGGGGCTCGAACTGGGTGAGGAAGGAAATGCCAAACCGCAGGCCTCAGCAGAGGAGCAGCAAAGAGCTGAGCGGGGGGTGGGCAGAACTGGGCCTGACAGTTGGCTTGCAGCAAAGTGTGGGCTCCTAGGGTTCTCCTGCTTTAATGGGCTACAGGAAGCACCTTCCAAGCCTATGGGACCACTGCCAGGGACTGGTCGACGGGGCAACAGTGATGGTGGGCACAGCAGGGAGGTGGTTGCTATGGCTATCACTAGGTGCAAACCTTCAAGTTACACCCTACCCCCAGAGGACCAAGTGACAGTGAGTGGAGGGAGGTGACTCATTCTCCCTTCACCCCATAAACCCCACGCCTCACTCAGGACCAGAGCAAGAAGTGACGGGGGCTGGGCAGCCATAGACAGTAGTCCTCTCTGTTTGCCTTCGTTTAAGGAACTAGCTGGCCCTGGAAATGGGCTGAAGTTCCCCCGAGGAAGCCAGCCCATTGTAGGAAGGTGGCACTCTACAATGACCTAACTTGCAGCCTGGTGGGGGCCAGTCTTCATCTTCTCAGTCTAAGGGCTCTCCTGGTAATGTACAAGGTACAGGGGCTGCAGGCACAGACAGTCTAACTGCAATGTCTGGCCCCAAGGGTGGTGCCCACTGTGTGACCTCAGACAAGGCAGCTGCCCTCACCTGACCCCGGATTCCTTATCAGCACAATACAGGGGTTAAACCTGATTAGTGAATCCCTGATGGGCTTGATCATCATGATTCCCTAGCTCTACCTGTTACAAACACTGATCACCAGGCCCAGCCAAACCTACCTGAACAGACTCTCCGGGGAGAAGCCTGAGGCTCAGTGACATCAACCAGCCCCCAGGTGATTTTTATGATGATCCAAAAAGCTTGTGAAATAAATCGTTATTCTTGACACTGATGAAATTGTTTGTTTGCTTGTTTTAAAGAGAAGGAGAAGGAAAGGCAGGAGAAGGAACTTGGTGATTCTAAAGGGAGTGAAGTAGGGGAGTGGGGGTATACGAGGCCTTAGCTGGCCTTTGATATAGCCCTTTAATTCTCCCCCATGCTTGAACAACTGTGAAGGAAGACCTACTAGTGGGTCTAGAAATCAACTTTGCTGATGACACAAGACGAAAGAAACTATACAAGAAACGAAGGCTGGCAGGCAGGCGGAAAAGAAGGGAGAGAGGGAGGGTGGAAGGGAAGGGAAGGGAACAGAAGGAAAGGAAAGGGAAGGAGAGGGGTACAGAATAGAAAATATCAGCGCACAAAGCATCCATTGTCCCGTGAAAATTCCATCTTCCTTTCCTCTACTGTGGCATGTGTAGCTGTGTACTGGCTTATGGATATAGAGCGCGTTCTTGCCACAGCTTTGGCCAACTTCTGACCTACTCCTTTTATGGGGCCCTCCCACAGTAGGAGTCTTGTTCCCTGGGCTCAGATTTCAGACTGCCTGCTGCTCCCTCCCAGGACAAGGCTTCCAGGCCCTGGGTAGGGCAGATGCCTCTTCCGCAGCGCTGTTCTCGCCGTTCTCGCAGTGGGACCCTGGACCTCTCCTTTTCCCCACCCCTCCTCCCTGCACACATTCCCATGCTCAATCCTGCTCTCACTCTGCATTCCAATCCTTTTTCTAAGGAACAAAATGTTCTTTCCGTCTTTAAAGATCATCCCTTGAACCAAGAGCTAAACCTTCTAAATTCTATCCTTGTTACCTGAGAAGCCAGAGGCAGCCAGATGTTTTAAGACTCAGGAAGGAGCCTTTCACCATCACCTGAGGCCTCGATCGACAGCGTAAGAGTAGGACATAATAATTTGAGGACACAGGGTGTACTCCCTACTTGTCACCCATGTCCCACTGCAGTTTTACATGGAGTGTTTTCCTGGTGCCTCACGATCATTTTCCTGGTATACAAGTATAATTATTCTCATTTTTACAAATAAAAAAGGCAGGGCTGGCCAGCTGCGTTGCATGCCTATAATCCCAGCACTTTGGGAGGCCGAGGCGGGTGGGTCACCTGAGGTCGGGAGTTTGAGACCAGCCTGGCCAACGTAGCAAAAGCCCATCTCTACTAAAAATATAAAAATTAGCTGGGCATGGTGATGCCTGTAATCCCAGCTACTCAGGAGGCTGAGGCAGGAGAATCACTTGAACCCAGGAGATGGAGGTTGCAGTGAGCCAAGATTGCGCCACTGCACTCCAGTCTGGGCAACAAGAGTGAAACTCCAACTCAAAAAAATGGGCGAGGCTCTGAGGGACGCAGCTGTCAAAAGGCACGTGACCAGCAT